TATACAATATCTAAATGCACTAAGGTTTCAACATATTATTCAACATAACACAATTGTTTCAATAAATGTGAAAATAGATATTCTACTTAGAATGATTGCCTGAATACAGCTCATTAGAGAAAACTGCAACACAAGAGTTGTATTTCCAGGATATGGGAAACTAGGATGTTGTCGACAGACCTACGCCTTTGTCAATGCAAATCCTTGATCATCTAATATTTATCACCACATCTCATAACACAATCTCATTAATTTCACTTTTTGATTAGAACATCTAACGAGCACCTTATGAAACTTTACCCAATTTTTTTTTATTGTATCTATTGTATCGGTCCATTGATATTTACACTTTCAAGTAATTAATCAAAAGTGAGTTTAATACAGAGCTATCCAGGATGTGATATCATACTAATTATAGATGTTCTTTATACAATTACAATCATCAATGGAATACACTTGGTGATCCCAATTTCTCTGGAATACATAATCCCAGAAAAAACGTGAGTAGCGTATAATTCAAATTAATTGGAACCTATTGGGAAAATAACATAAACCCAAAAGACGCAGTTATGACCTTAAACCTCTAGTACCACGGGATGTCATCGCCTGATTTGGTCAATGTTAGGGAGCAGGTCGTTTTTACAATAAATTTCAATATTTTCACACAAAATATTTTTTTACTGAAAAACTGCTCATTCGCAGAGAAAATGTACTAGCACATGCAATGACAATGTCAATCACGCTTCTGTACGAAATTCGGCGGAAGTCTTTTATAATCTAATACGAAGTTACTAAAAAAGGCGCGAACGCCCTACACTCAAAATGATCGTTTTTCCATTATAACTTTTTAACGTAATTTAACGAAGGCTTCTAATTATTATCCAAGATAGTCTAAATACCGATTAAAATATTTCTTACTTCAAACAGATACGCCGTCTTTTATTCAATTTTTTAAAAAATAATAAAAAATAACTCTTGTCAATGTTAGGGAGCAGTCAATGTTAGGGAGCAAAATGATTTTATCAGAATATTAAAAATGTAGCAAATGGCCATTTAAAATATGTATGGCATTTATAAACTGAACAATTTTGTTTGTATGATTATTTGATATCCTTTGGGGAGGAAAGCGTTAAAATTGTAAGAAAATCATTGAAAAGGTTATTTTGCATTTTTTATTTTCAGCTAAATCCTGTTTACGTTCGTTTTAGAAATATTTAGATGCGAACCATTCCTTCTTTATTCGTTGACCTCTAACTGTAAATGAATGGATGTATCGTTATATACACTTTTTGATGATGTCATCAGTTCACAATCCTAAATTGTGGATGATAAATTATCTGAACTGACATATAGGCTTGAGAAATCTCCGACATCCTTCAGTTCTATGATTTGATATTTTCCTAGTATTAAAGTAAGAGAGTTAGTCTCGCACTTATCTTTACGACCGGGTATCACCTGATAGCTGGCACAAACGCTATGAAGGGCTCATTGCGCAGTTACATGTATGATAGTAGATTTTTACACGTATACTTCAATTTGTCAATACTCAGACAATGCAGTATATAACCGATCTCTGTTATATGTGTACCACTTGCTAATGATACTCTAAAGCCCGGTATACACCAATGGGACAAGTTGGGACCTCCATAGACTTAACATGGCGTGGGACCTAGTGGGACCTTTTGGGATTTTGCCCCATGAAGTCCGTGGGAATCAATGGGACTCCGTCGGATTTTGCCCCAACTTGCATATAATCTTGCCCCATCGAGTCCCATGAGGTCCCACGTTAGACTCGATGGGATTCGATGGGGCAGGATGGGAAGTTTTAGACTTTCTTTAAGTGTTACCGGTCTATTTCAAAACAATAATTTATATACAAAGATGAGCTCATTTATTTAAATACAATATCATGAATAAAGGGAGATGTCATGTAATTATTGTATCTGGTTAAATTGTGTATATTGTGCTGAGCAATACTGTATGCTTGTAAGGTTTATACCAAGGGGTATAAAACAATCATACAATCTTGTCTAGTTTATAAATGACATACATGTTTGTAAAGGCCAATTACTCTGATATTCTGATAAAACCATTTCGCCCCACTGCATTGTTTGCTCCGCCACATTGATCATACTTATTTTTTATTATTTAAAAAAAATTAAAGAAAGGTGTACCTGTTTGAAGTAAGAAATATTTCAATATGTACTGAGATTATCCATGATAATAATTAACTTTCCTTCGTCAAAAATCTTTGAGAGTCCATTTTCTGAAGATAACAAAAATGCAAAACAATTTTTTTTATCGATTTTGTTAAATTTTGTTAAGGCAAGGGGTTTAAAATAATCATTCAAACAATATTGTTTAGTTTATAAATGCCATACATATTTTAAATGGCCATTTGCTACATTTTTAATATTCTGATAAAATCATTTTGCTCCCTAACATTGACTGCTCCCTAACATTGACAAGAGTTATTTTTTATTATTTTTTAAAAAATTGAATAAAAGACGGCGTATCTGTTTGAAGTAAGAAATATTTTAATCGGTATTTAGACTATCTTGGATAATAATTAGAAGCCTTCGTTAAATTACGTTAAAAAGTTATAATGGAAAAACGATCATTTTGAGTGTAGGGCGTTCGCGCCTTTTTTAGTAACTTCGTATTAGATTATAAAAGACTTCCGCCGAATTTAGTACAGAAGCGTGATTGACATTGTCATTGCATGTGCTAGTACATTTTCTCTGCGAATGAGCAGTTTTTCAGTAAAAAAATATTTTGTGTGAAAATATTGAAATTTATTGTAAAAACGACCTGCTCCCTAACATTGACCAAATCAGGCGATGACATCCCGTGAGTACGGTCCAATTAAAAACACATTAGGCAAATGCCATAACTTCAATATAAACTTTATCAACACTATAATTATATTTTGGTATGAATTGGGACATCGCAACCTTTTAATTTTGATCTAAGGGATCTAACAATCCACAGGTAAACTACAGATAGAAACTTTCATAAATAATTTACTATAAAAGGAAGGGGGTTTATTTTACTCCCACAATGTGCAACCATTCCCCATTAAATTGAAATCATTGAACATCTCTAGAGTTTTATATCTGATTTGATGTCATACATTAGAGAAATATTATGATCGATATAGGATTAAGATAAATGGCATAAAAGTTTACTCTCATATCGCATTTTTCATTTTTATGAACTGTATTTTCTGTTACCATATGGGGGCCCATTCTTGTACCATTCTCAATTCATATGTCTAATGACATTTGTAAATTGATTACACACAAGTTAGAAATAAGATACAAATGCATAAAGTTGTGAATGGACCATTTCTAAATTGTTCTTTTAGAAGCAATGGTAAATGGTATTTCAGTGCTTATCAAACAAAAAGCAAGACTACTGCTAGACATGTTAGAGTCATAATTACTCCCAAAACCATTGATCTAAAGTAGTATATGTAGTATAATTCACTGGATTACAACAGCACCTAGTGATAAAAATATCTTCTAAATATGTCATTGACTTAACAAGAACAAGGGCAAAGTTCTACTTATAATACAGAAACAAAAAACACTTAACTTCACTCAAAATAATTTCTTTTATTCTTTACAATGTATATTCAAAGTCAAGATGATCAGTTATAAAAATATTTATGTTTACGTTTCTTTATTTGGACCATAAATTGATCATACAAATACATACTGGTATATTAAAGTTAAATTAAATTACAATTTTACAGTGATCGTTGGTGGTAGTGTATTTGTGTTCAGTACTTCAATAAAATAAACTTTTACACAGAAATTATTTTGATTACAGTCACTAGGATTTCAATCTTTGAAAGTAAAAACATTTATCTTTTTCTAAAATTTATTTGTATTTGCAGAGCGCTTCCTCTTTTACAATTGGACTAAAACTTGGTTTGAACTGTTGCAAACGATTTTCTCTCATGCTAAATTCAAAGTTAAGGGTTAAAAAATAAATGTCTTCCCAGGCCTGAATACTTTTGACACCAGACACCAATTAGATGGTTTTACCAAGGATGGGATGTATTATAGTAAGAAACAATATGTTTGTAGTCGTGCAACACCCAACATAAGCTGTTTTATATCATATAACACTACAGCATCTATCAACCAACCTTCTTCTGTATCATAAGGGAGGTAGAATATAGAATCATGAATCATTAAGATAACATTTGATCTATGAGAACAGAATATAAGATGTAAGATTATGTAATATCATAATATGTATGTACTCCTCATATAAACATGTCTTATAGAATTAAGTAGAAATCATTTTCAAAAATTGTAAGGAAATAAATCAAGAGCCATTTTAAATTATCATTTAAAATGGTTCTTCCTCTGACTTGATCTTAAAATTCAAAAAATTCAGATTAAAAAAGATTAAAAAAGATCATAAGAATCTGTAATATGTACTATCAACAGACTTACACCAATACAAACTAGCCCTTCATATAAACCATTGCAATTTTGCTCTGAGCATTCTTCCAAGTTTGAATGCAGCACTAAAACCTTCTATTCATTATTTTCGAAGCTTCAAAAGATGCTCATGAAGATTCTTGAACTTTATTCTGCTTTCTTTACTTTTTCAACCTTTGATATTTTCAGAGGTTTTCCTGTCTAAGGTGCAACAAACATGTTGCAAGAAATTAATTTTGGGCTGCCCCCCCCCCTGGAACGGGCCCAGAAAAATAGCTTTAAAAAGTGTCTGGGACAGCATGGTCTGAGACCAAAAGATTTTAGGGCCTTAGAGTAATTAGTTGGCCTTTTTGGGCATTACTTGACCTTTCAGAAGCTTTTTAAAGTTTTAAGCCAAATTGCCAAGAAAATAGACCTTAAATATTCCAATTTTTGATTTTAACCTTTTTTAGACTTGAAATGTGGCCCAGCCCCCCCCCACCCTATACTTTAAAGCCTGAAATTAATGTTTTGTGATTGTAACAATAAAATATTACTACATACCTTGGATTTCAGATCGTCTATCTGAAAATATACAAGATAAAATCAGTTAATAATCTATGAGAGTGTGAATACAGGGCTGTCAGCTGGGGGGGGGGGGGGGGGGGTGGGGGTGCGATGGGTGCAACCGCATCCCCCTTTGAAACCCCCCTGAAAAAAATTTGAAGAAAAGCTCTCTGATATAGTCTTTCTGGGGTACTAACACTTGCTCCCCCTTTGGCATCCTCACCCCACCTCCCCCTCTTGCACCCTCTCCCCTCCTTGGACACCCCCCCCCCCCCCCCAAAAAAAAGAAGTGAAAAAATTGTGATTTTTACATATTTTTTTTATTGACTCATACATTTTTCAAGTGCCCAGAAAGCACCAAATAGCATCTTAAAATTATAAAATTTCTAGGGAAGTATTTTCCTAAACTGCCCCCTTTCTCCCCTAAGAAGGAATTGATTGAAAAAATTCTGAATTTCTTTAAATTGATTCTATCGATTAAAACACTTGAAAGCGTCCAGAAGTCACTGACTGTGATCCTGAACTGGTAAAAGTTCTCAGGTAAGCATTTAAGCCCTTCTGGCACACCCTCTCCTATTAGAATGTTTCTCCAAATTGCTCATACAATATTTAGTCTAAACCAACAGAGACTACAAAATAGGCTGAGGGGCCCCACTATTGGGAATAATCACCCCCCTCCTGACTTCATCGATTTGATATTTTTCTTATATCTATAATCACTACTGCACTGTATTAATGTATTATAAAAATAAAAAGCTTTAGAGTGAGCAGGAATGTTGAAATGATGTTCAAGATGATGACATACATAGTACTATATATTCAATATTCAACCTGAGATTTTAAAGTGCTTGGCAAAATTGAAGATTAGAACAAACAAAATCTGTGATAACTACGTGCATGTGATTTTGACCAATTTTCATTCAACATTTGAAGATAATCTGGAATATTTATACCTTAAATTTGCTATGTAATGATGATTGTGCTATTGCCTTATTAATATGTCATTGACCTCTCGGTCTATCTATAGTTTATGATGATTTATGAACTGTTCGATTGAGCATATACACTTTAAAACATATGTATAAGCTACCTTAAGTGTGACAATTAACCCTACCTCTTAGACAAAGAATAAGATATCAATATAACAAGCTAAGGAAAATGTATTGGGTGAGCAAGATGAGAAATTAAACACTATTTTGTGTGTTTTTATGACTTTTAAGCTTGCCGATTGGAACATCAAATATATAATATAATAAATTATTCATTGAATCACCCATTATGCCAATTTTGCCCCACTATTATGGTAACTATACCCAAATGCAAAATTTGGTCTGGCCTGGCCGTGGGCAGGTCACAATAACTTGAGGTAGAAGGACAGATCTGATATGCCAAAGTGACATAAATTATCCACCTTACCTCAACATTTAACTTTCTAAAATGAAATATAAGTCAAAATGTGCTTAATAAAGTGATCTTTGAACATGTTAATTCAATACCTACCACCTGAAATATTTTGCAAATTATATACTAACATACTTTCATTTATAGGAATCATCTACATTATCAAAAAGTGTTATGTGTTTAACCATTTCAATAGATCACTCTAAAACACCCTGAGACTGCACAAAATAAACTAAGATATATTGGTTGGAATCAAGATACCACAGATTGTATAAAGCAACATTTACAATCAAAAACCCTGAGAAGGTTTCCCAAAATTAGCAAAAAGTAGATCCTGTTTTTATTTCATTTTCATTTCATGTAAATCAAGCTGATTTAAAACCCACTTAGGTAGCAACAAAATAGAATGAAATGATTTTATTTCAAAGAATGTTTGGTTGTAACAAAAGTACATTCATTTTCATGAATTTTGTTCAAATGATCATTTATCTTTCATAAGAGTAAGTGTGGGTTTTAAGTATTTATAAACCATTTATACTGGCTGTTAAAAGAAATAATGGTCTCAGGCATACGGCCCTCGGCCATTGTTTCTCCTAGCAGCAAGTATTCATGGTTTATACATTAAATAATACTTGGACCTTCTCTAGAAAGCTAATGATATATGATGCAGAGCTTGAGACATAATATGACTGCTGGTGTGTACTCATTGACTGGGGAGTTCACAAGGTAAATCATTAATATATTCATCTTGTCTTGCAATTAACTAGATTTTGATAACATTGTTTGAGAACATTTCCAAACCCAAAATGTAACACCTTATTTGGTAATATATTAAGAAATCTTGAATTTCATCATAATTTCAACAGAGGGTAAGATGAGAACACATAAATTAATTTCATCATCAGATCATATACTGGTATTTCATATGCCCCTAAAGTTTGTTATGGTGGTCTACTGATGATACCACACAGAAAAATGCTAACCATACTAATCTCAAGAGGCAGGATTTACAGTCATATTGTTCTGTTTATATTCAATAAGAAGTGATCACTTAAGTAAACTTATTCCAGTATTTTGTTTTGAAATGATTTCATTGAAGCATAAATGGCAAAATGTGTAACATATTAACAGTAAATGTTGACTGTCCTATTTGACTAAATGTCAGATTTTTAAAAAGAGAATATGAGAATGCATCCAAAACACTAAAAAATATGCGAGAATAAAGAAGATAAATTCTAAAAATAAATATTTTGATGAAAACTCTTTGAAATATGTTTGTGGTCACGATATATTACCAAAGAGCCAGAGAACCTGGAACCATGTCTATTGTTGATATCATTAACCGCAAATTGAAAACTGTCCAAAAATAATTTCTTTTATCATCTAAATTCTTGTAAAACAAGCAGTTTCATTTACAAAGCAATTAACCTTAGTTTCAGTTGATTATTTCTGTGGGAAATAGGTCCTTAATATTTTATTTTAGGAAAAATAATTTCTATTCTTAACACAGTGAAGTGGCAAATGTGGAATTGCTGTACTCCATAGATCATAATTGACAGCTCTGTGAGATCTAGCCACTTGTTGTTTAGACAAAATGGGAAACACATTTTTTAAATGCTTTATATTTCCTAAGTACATAAATGCATTTCAATCAAATTCCTGCTGATAATGAGTTTGAAATCATTCCAAAATATAATTTTGAACACATTACCTCATTGTTTCATTTAGTTAATATTCATGTTTACTTTCCGATATTTTTTTCAAAAACTTTTCAAACAACAAGAAGGGTGGTAAACCCCAAATATGTATGTAATTAGAGGCCGCTCTTATGGTAACAGCAAACTATGACAACTATACAGCCAACTATGCAGACTTCGTGAGACCTTGTGGGGCCATATGTCTACGACAAGACTACTTTAAATATTTCAAATTCAGCTCAATATAGCAGAGTACTAAAAGTTATATACACGACAAATGTGTGACTTCAGAAATGAAGAGGGATCACGCTTTGCATTCGTTCGACTTCAATTCTCAAAAGAGAGCTTCATCTTCTTATTAGACTGTTCACACAGGGTATAGAAGGATGGAACTTTCTACAAATTGAATGACAGAACAGTTTGTGTTTGTGTAATATTATGAGTATAGAGATGATTAATATGGTTTAGTAATAATGAACACTTTACTGTACAATAATATAACAATTTCAAAAAATCACTTATAATTTTTATTTATAAGGATCATCATAATATATTATAGATTTTGTGAACATGCAACATTAATGCTAGATTGAAAAAAATCTGCAAACTTAAAATCAATTACTCTAGAAATGACTTTACAATGTCAATTATAGTCTAATTATAAAGTATAAGTAAGTTACAAGTAAAGTGAACTTACAAAATCATTCTAAGAACTCCTAAACTGCCTACTTTTAAACTGATGCATTATCAAATTTTTACATTTTTTCAAAATTATTTTGCTTGATTTTTAAATACAGTAATATTTTCTCTAAAAAAATTCTTCTACTTCCTGTAACTGTGACTTTATTTTGGCATAATATAATTGGGTCACTTTAATCAGTAAGTTATGTTTTACAAAATAGCAAAATTTCTCAATTTCTTCATCATTTCAAAACAGAATGATTTAACAAAATAAATTATTTACCAGCTTTTTTATGTACTTAACAGTAACATGTGAGACATTTATGATGTTTTAGTTAACATGAATATACCAACTTATTTTATTATGTCTTTGTTTAACAAGCGTAAGTATGATCACCACTTGACTGTGGTATTTCATTTTAGACATGACGCGGATAAACCAACATAGCAGTTTCATGTATATGTACACAAATAAGTTTTAGGACAGAGTAGACAATACAATTTAATAAAATAGTACCATGGGTACTGGGCTCACATGGTGTTGCTCAAAAGTGAATGATGGCTAAAATGGCAAAAAATAAAAAAAAAATGATATAACTTATGCCCATTTTTTGAAACAAAATTTCATACAACTACTCTTTACAGTGACATGGCTTTTTACAATTCAGGACACCTGAATTATTTCAAAAGATAGGAAATGGGCCAAAAGTGAATTTCGCAAGACAAAAATGGCGGCCATTTTGAAAATAGGCGAGCTTTTGAACCAGGAGTCATTAGGGGGTTTTCTATATTGATGTTGAACAAAAATAACTTAAAACGGGAATCCTATTGACAGAGGTTTTATAACAGGCCAATTGTTGACAGACAGACAGATGGACAGACAGATGGATGGACAGACAGACAGATGGACAAGTGAGTGATTGCAATAGCTAAACATGGAGCTAAAAAACATTGATCAACTAACATTGACAACTAACTTATCATTCAGTTTATTCTTTTTAAAATTAGTAGTTTTCATACGCTTACCTTTTGAGCAGATTCTACATTTGGAACTGAAAGTAGAAAATCATAAAAATTACCAAGACAATCGAAATAATAATTTTACATTATGTTATAGCTTAATGTAAAATATGCTTTAAGAGTTTCTTACAGAATGATACATACTTTGTTGAAGATGAACGAATATACAAAATATGAAAAAGATTACACATTATAACATATTACACATATGGCAAACTCTGAATGAGACTCTAGGAGTAAGATACACATTTTTTGAAAACACATGATAAACGCTTCACATAGGACACATAATACATGAGAGACATATTATAGGTTATGAGATACATTACATATTAGATATTAAGCGACATAAGAATAATATAATTCTATTTAATTTATATATACTGTACATAATTTGATGACTAGATAAACTTGTCAAATAGCAACTGGGGAATTTGAGGGGGCTTTTAATCAGGCTATAACACTTGGTGAATCATGCATCAATAAAAATCCCCCATAGAGACTGGTCAATAGTAACAAATAGGGTAGGGAGTGGCCACTGCAAATCATGGTCAAAATCTAGGATTCTTTCTTCATTCTACGAGTCAAAATCAAACTGATAAAAATTCTGAAATTTGGCATCATTCACATATTTTATTAAGTACAATCAAAATTACATAAAATTCAATAAACCCTTATTTTTCAAAATTATTTAGATGACAAAGTATGGAATTTTCACATACATGTATGGTGAAAAATTAGCCAAAATAAATCATTCTGCAGAGTTTGAATACCATGGATGAGCTGATCTGAACATATACTTTTTACATTATTTTAACACCAAAACAGAAATGTAAGTCCATCACCTCTTTAACTATAGTCTTTTCCTGAAACGATCATTTGGATTGACCAGAGACATAAAACTGTTTTACATGTCTCTGGATTGACAATCTTTCCCCTGTTCAACTGTCTTTAACTTGAGCTAAACATTGTAATACCCACATTCACAACACATGTGAAACATAAGGAAAACAAAGAAAAACACAGAGTGAACCATATTGTATAAAATGTACATAGTAGACCATAAAATGAAATCTTATTTAGCTGGCATGAAGAAGCCCTGGACCCAGTTAAAAATCTTCAAGCAAAAAAGCCTATAGAGTCCATAAAAAGCAACAACCCCTGTCTACCATATATATTTCATTAAAATATACATATTCCATAAAGCTGAACCAGAATAGTACAATAACGTCATTTCTAAGGGCAATATAGTGAAATATTGGACCGAGGGCGTTGCATTGCCCCCGGTCCAATATTTCACTATATTGCTCGCAGAAATGACGTTATTAGTATTATTACCACCGTTAACAACCAGGACTGAAACAGCAAGAAAATCTTACGCATTGAACGATATCTAATTTCCCGGGGAAAATTGCCGGTCCAGAATATATTCTAGACCGGTCCATATGGACCACCACTATGACGTCACACATTTCTCAGGTCGATATAGTAAAATGAATGCCTTTTAAACTAGCACTAAAACCCCTAGAACTGGCCCGGCAAGGTGGTAATAATGGACATTACAGTGACCGATGAATAACTTTTGAAACTAAATATTGAGTAGTCCCAAGTCCATGTCAAATACCCGGGGTAAAATATGTACAAGTTATAGAGCTCAAGTGCTCAAATACCTTTAAAGTACACCAAAGTCACATTACAAAACTAACAAAATATACTGATGTATTTCAGACAAGTGGCTGTATCAAAAGTTTTCAAAAGTTTTACAAACTTTGAACTTACCTGGAGCTGAATATGAGACCACCAGCAAAACACTGAAAATAAGTATTTTGTACATCTTGAAAAGTTACGAATATGGTATCGATATGTTCCTCGGATACTAGTCCAGCTATTTCCAAGATATTTTATATCAATGACAGCGAGAGCTGTAATTATATGTTATACTGAACACCAACGCGATTCTCAACTTCTGGAAAGATAAGTTGAAACGGAAGTTTGTCGTAAACTAATCGATGAATAATTAGAATGTGGGTTATTTGCCCATCCAAAAAATATTTTGTAAACTGATCTGTATTATTAAAATATACAGCTCAAATAACTCAATAAAAAGAGCAATTATCTTGCATTTGATTGAAAATTACGACATTAAAACAAAGGTCATCAGACTCTATCGTCAGTCAGTCGGTTGAAAAAATTGGATTTTCTAAAAATTTGATTGAGTTTTGCCGGATTTTGTCTATATTTACTCCGTTTTTGCTTCATTATTGATGTCCCAATAAAGATAAGATATAATTTGATTGTTTTAAGCGAAAAAACAAGGAGTTTCTTGTCCCAGAATAATGAAATTGACGTGCATTTGAAGCACATTTGAAATTTATGATTTTTCAAATTTGCATCGTCTGCTATTTAGACTATTACAAAACCATTGGACCTTCGTACATTGGACTGTCTCAAAAACACATTCAAATGACTATATTGCGACATGTTGTGAAACTGCAAAAGAGTTGCCAAAGGTAAGACATGAATGTCAGTTTGACATGTTGATTTAGCTTAGTGCCCCGGGGTGGGGCTGCTTAGTGTTCAACTGACTTGTTTATATCACTGACTCCTTAGTCTAGTTACATCTTGTACAATATCTCAATCTGTGTTGTCGATTACTAATTATGGTTGTTCACTGGACGCTGGAGTCAGTGCTTGAGCTCATTATGATCAGTCATAGTCTATCTTTGATTGATTTATGTTTTAGGGCTGTTGGACTTGTTACAAGAAATATGAGCAGTGTTGGGGGACATGATAATGATCATTTATCCAGAACTTCAGAAAATACTCGTGAAAATGTAAGTCTGATGCCAATTGTCAAAAAAGAGTGAACTAATAGTTCTGATCTGATACTCTTCATTGAGACCCTTTCATCTGTTGCAAGACTTATGCCTGGCACAACTGTCACCATGTTATTAGTGTTTTTAAGTTGCGCAAGGATCCTGCCATGACCGTGGTAGTTTTATCGTGAAAGCTTGGTATAACCGTGACAATGCTATATTATATTGTAAGCCCTGTCATGACCATGGTAATGTTAAAGCCTGATATGACCGTGACAATGGTTGAAAAGCGCCTGATATGACTGTGACAATGGTTGCAAAGCCTGTCATGACCGTGGCAATGGTTGCAAGGCCTGTCATGACCGTGGTAATGTGATTTAAATATTTAACGTGCTTTAACATTACCACAGTCGTGACAGGCCTTGCAATCATTGTCACGGTCATATCAGACTTTAACATTACCACGGATAGAACAGGCCTTGCCACCATTGTCACGGTCATATCAGGCTTTAACACCACCATGGTCATGACAGGCCTTGAAATAAAATATAGCATTGTCACGGTTATACCAGGCTTTCACGATGACACTACCAGTCATGGCAGGATCCTTGCGAAACTTAAAAACACTTAATAACATGGTGATGGTTGTGCCAGGCATAAGTCTTGCAATAGAAAGGCTAGCATGTGTCTTCATTTCGCGCATGGCCCATTTTCTCATTTTGACAAATGCACTCTCCATAAGGTCTGGTTATTCTGGCCAGATAATATTGCACATGTAAGACCATCGTAAACTTCGTTTTCAAGAAGTGGAGTGCCTTATAGCAATTCGACCAATCAGATTGCGCAAAAAATACGAGATGTATGCGCAATAGCCATTAAGATATGAAAGGGGAATTTCATCTTCATAACCTAGTAAACATAATCAGCTAATGATACTGATAGGACTTCCCACAACCATGCTTACATGTATGTGATACATGTATGTACTATTTTCCTTATTTTGTAGGTAATGTCACAAGCGATTGTGAGTTCAGTACAAGATGTTTCTCAGACTGTTAAACTCTTATCACTAAAGTTAATAAATCCACGAGTGAAGTTCAAAGCCGGACAATGGTAAGTTCATGGTGTGATGTTGTTTTTTTCAAAATGTGTACATCACCCACATTAATATTTCTTGAATGTAAATAATATGGGTTGGGGGGGGGGTCATTAACAGACTTTGTAAGGATAAGAATTCCTAAATTAATTGTTGTAACCATGGATATGATGGCATCAATATACGTAGTAAGAGAACAATGGATTTAGATAATTTCTAACTATGAAGTTTCTGTGAATGACCATTGTTTATTAACTGATATGTTGTGCCCAAGCTATTCCATGTGTTCCCATAATCTTAACAATGATTCTGTTATGATGAATATGTATCTTAATTCTGCAAAATACTGGTACATGTGTTTATGTTGCTTGCCATATTTATTAAGAAATAAATGCAAATCATTAAAATCAATAAAATTCCAAGATGTAAACATGAATTTCAGGGATTTTGAAATACAGGTGTGAAGGAATGATAGAATTATTTTTTAAAACTCATTTTCAGTCTTTAATTTTCTGTTTAGTCATTTAGAAAATGAAATTCTGAAAGTTACTGTTATCAACAATTACTAATATACGTGTACATATCTTTAGTCTTTATTTGTACTTTGATTAAACATGTTCATCTATTTACAGGGTTGATTTCTTCATTCCTGGTTTGGAAAAAGTTGGGGGTTATTCCATGTGTTCCTCACCTACTAAGCTCATAAAAGATGGCACTTTAGATCTTGCAGTAAAGTACAGTGAACATCCCCCAGCAAAATGGGTCCACACTCAGGTGATTCTTATGATCAGGTCATTGTTATGATACATGGTGTATAAATACAAGTGAAGATCTCTAAAGTGTCTCAACCATTAAAATACCACAAAGTTTGCAAAGATTGTAATGACCTTTAACCTGCATCATTAATAGAATTTTCTTAAAAGTGAGAGGATGTGGTGAATTTTAGTGTCATAGTAAAAGGTAATTCAGAAAATTGTTCTTATTTAATGCCAAGTGATATTAGGTGATTCAACTTGATAAACTTGATGGTTGTTGTCCTCACAATATGCCACTAACATTCTATTCAGATAACTAGACACCAACATGTCCATACTCACCAGTCCTTGGTAGAGACGTCCGACCTATATTGTGACTCCTGACAACCTTTAGAGTTAAATAACTGGGTGCAAACAGTCAGTTTCTGAGTTTCAAAACAATAAAGAACCACGTGCTTGTGCATATATAATATTGATCAAATATGATGGTAGGGAAATTTACAACTCATCCACCAAATTATTTTGTGTGTGTTGGGTATTTCTTCTAGTGCATGGTCTGATAGAAATCAAAATAGTTTGATGTTTCATTTTTCATTTAGTTGGAATGCACCCCCTCTCGTTTATAGCACATTCATGTCCAGCGAAAGCTGGCCTTTAACTGTCTAAGACATGTAGCTTCCATCACACAATAACTGTACACATATGTTATGTTACATATTAGATTAAAGAATTTTATTTGTATTTTATCATATTCATTGTAGTGTAAAATGGACACAAAGGTAGCAGTGCGAGTGGGTGGTGACTTTCACTTTGACCCTTTATCCTCACCCTCAACAGATCTCCTCCTCATAGCAGGAGGTGTTGGGATTAACCCTCTCTACTCCATATTCCTACATTGTTCAGAACAAGCTGCATCAACAGGTGCAAGGGTTAATCTGCTGTATAGTGCTTCAACCTCTGATGAACTCGTTTTCAAGGTGAGTTTTCACATATTTTAAGATAGGCTCGTTCGTTTTTTATCTTAAAACCCCATTCCTCCCTTAAATCTAATGTAATTAGTTCTTTTTATATATAGGTCATTTTTCTTTATTGCAAATTAAAATTTTCATTTATTGGTAGGGAGGGTCCAGGCTCTAATTACATTATTGGCAACTTTTTCATTTATGGTTACTTCAGCGCAAAAATTTTGGTCGGCTAATATTTGGGCTTCTACAGTAGGTGTTTTTGGCTGGGGTCAATAATTGTCCTATCATTTCCTAATCTTATCATAATGAATGTTGCATGTTAAACTTAATAGATACACACAATTTCATGGGTGTGAACTCCCAATGTGCTGGTCATCTCAACCTTAAGTCAGCTCAACCACAAATTAACAAATAGGAATTAAGAGGAAGTTATCATTGTCAACATACTATAAAACTACTTAATATCAGTTTCACATGCTACAAGTATAATAACAAAATGTGTAAGGTAACATGAGAGGTTTAACTAGACACGATAGTTTCAAATAGTATCTTTGTGTTGTTTCAAATCATATTTTAAATCTCTCTGTGTTTAAAGTTGTATACAAGATGATCATTTGAGTATCTATGTGTTCCTGACACACGTTTGGGCATCTGGGAATGACAACGTCTACCCAAAGTAGACACTCTAGTCTATATTGACATGATTCATGACTAAAATCGGGGAGACAAAATTTGAGATACACAAACAAAATTTCTTGTAAAAACTATTTACAAATGTGTTCCAGAGACTCTAATCTACTTGCTAAGGTTTCATTTGAAGATAAATTGCCTTATTAAGCAGGTAGAGGGGTATACATCACACAGAAGCAAATGCCATATTGAAAAGGTTCTATATTACAGTTTGAATGAACGTAAACCATTGCATGGTTCGAAAGCATTCGTGCCTAACCCTAAGGGGTGTATTCGACTATATTACACCTGCTCTAAGGTCTATGTTACGATTCAAACATGAAAACTCCCCAAAATGATATTTCGAATATTCATTATGGTTCGCCATTACAACAACCCGCTGTTATGACGTCACATTTCCAGGGGTATTGTTTGCGAATATACCCCGGGTGAAATGTTGACTTTGTTCACAGTTTATAGAAGGTGTGAAAACAGTCATGTTCAAATTTAAAACAAACCCTTACATAAGTGGATTTGTGTCTCGGGACCATTTTTATAAATAGTTATTAGAAGCAATTCTGAAAGAATATCACGCCTTTTTGTTTTCCTGATTTCAGTTATAAATTACATCAATATGGCATGCATATTTTGGGTAGACGTTGTCATACCAGGATGCCAAAACGTGTCAGGAACACAAATTTCCCTGCTTTTTTCAGGAAAGTATCCTTTCATCTTCTTTTAGAATATCTGGTAGGTGTTCAATGGGAATTCCAGGAAATTTTGATATGTCACACTTTCTATTTTTCCAAATTTTCTTTCAAAGTTTCCAGACAACACAGGAGCTACCATTGACCTATTTCCAGGTTTACTAAAAGTAGACAGTGTAATGATACGTTACTGAAAAAAGCAAAAAAAATACACACATACCTTCATACTTAATTTTGTACCAGAAAATAACATGTGCAGGTATAGCAATTTTTTACCAAAATGTTACTTTCCAGCTGTACCTTAACCAATGAAAAAATAAAGCTCATTGTTTTAAGATTTATCTAAAAGGTGGACTGGACTCCACAATTGTGCCATCTTTTAGATATTAAGGGAGGGAATTGCGAAAAAGTGGACTCTTTTTAGTCATTCTTCTGCCAAAATACCTAAACTGTGGCTTTATATGGGGCCATATGTAAGTCATTTCAATCACCTGATCACATAATGTCTAAATGATGGCTGAAGCAGAGTCCACTAAACTGAGACCAGTCCACGAGAGAAAAAATCCTATGTCAAAGATTATTTCCATGTAATTTGAAATGAAACGCATTGTGTCGATCTGTCATGAATGATTTTATGAGACAATTCAATTCCTATTTTATACATTCTACCTAACAATTACATTTAATAAACAGTAATGTATTTTAATTTTCATATGTATTTGCATCACATTTCACATTAACCACTTGGGTTAAGATGACTTGGGTTGAGTTGACCAGGAAGTGATATATCATGTATTTCCTGATAATTTTGAAACATATATATTAGACTCTTATCTGTTTATTGATTTAAGTGTGGCTTCCCATCATGATAGGAAATACCCTTTTGATGATCATCAGTTGAAAACCTCAAATTTGATGTATCCTAGTAGAGAATTCCATGATGACAATATCTGTAATCAAACACTTTAATTAAGGGCACTCATAATCCATGCTGAACAAGGACTCTTGAGAGCGTTAAAAATTATGAAACCCTCAATAGGCCATAAAAAACTTCATTTGGTATGCTCCAATCAGTATAGTTGGGACAATAAAGTGCTCAATATTATTCAAAAAGTAAACCAGGGCCATATTTTAGAAATGGAACAACCAATCAATATCAAGCAAACAGTCCAAAATGTTCAACTACACTTCCAAAGTCAAGACCCATTCTTAAATAACATATGGAATGACAAGGGAAATCTTATAAATGGAAATAAATTAAGAACATATAGGGAATTTAAATTCGGTGTGTGCACTGAACAGTTTATAAAAGAAAACCTGCCAAGACACCATCGAAAAATACTGGCAGAATTTAGATCTGGTACTTTGAAGCTAGCCATAGAGACAGGTCGCTTTAATAACATTCCATTACACAACAGAAAATGTCTTTTATGTGATAGTGACCAAGTAGAAGATGAAAAACATTTTCTGTTAGACTGTACACATTATATAGATATTAGAAATGATCTATTTTCATATTTAAGAGATTCATTTAATAATTTTAGTGTTGATAATATTACACTCCACTCTATAATGACATGTAAATCTAGTCAAAGGAAAATTGCTTCTTCTTTATATAAAATGTTTCAAAAGAGGGCATTTAATCTTGAACGTTTGCAATAACATTGTAATATTGATGCTATTTATGAATTCATATAAGTGTCTCATAAGCCGGCATCGACTAGAGGTTTTTTATTAATGTATTTTAGTATTGTATTTTATTGTATATGTATGAACCTGTGACACTATAATAAACTATATAAACTAAACTATATAATATGAAAACTGTTAACTAATTAAAAGAATGTGTTTGAACTTTTTAGCCTTTATTTTGTTTCATGAAATATTCACTTTTTCATTAAAATATTACTTGAATTAACCATCAGCATTGTTTTAAAACATATGCAAACCTAAAATATTTCATTGGATCTTCAACTTTTATGTTTTTCAGAAAAACATTGACAGCATATGTAAGGAATGCACCAACTTTAACAGACAATACTTTGTGACCAAGGAAAATACTCAAGCTACAAAGGACTTAACAAGTAAGGTGTATTCTTTGGAGAGCATGGGCACTAGAAATGCAAGTAACGTTCACGGGAACATTACATTGATTCACACTACAGATATACTATCTTGGCCGATGTTTGTCACTAAATTTTGAATCAGTAGCGTTTTAACAATGAACCTATTCTTCTTCAATGATGTTCAGTGTTTGGCATCTGGTGTCTGTAACAAATGGCAGGTGGTGACATTTTGAATGTTAATGCCTTGTTTCTAATGTTTTCAGACCAAATGGTTCTTTTGTCAACTCGCATGCATCTGATCTGAAATCTGCACTCATGAAAAATAAGTATCACAGTTTTCATATGGGAGTTTTTGACAAAGGAGCCATATGCTTTAAAGGGTGATGCATCGTTTAGCAAATCGAACGCTCGTTTCTGGTGTTGTTCACCGTTTAGTATAAAAGGCCTGATCCCGGAATAATACTCAAGGGTTCACAGGCTCGATGTCGTTGTGTCAACACCTCTAACTGTTATATAACATAAATATATTATAGATCGTCACACATTTATAAAAGGGACAATCAATCAATTTGAACAATCACTCTCTGAATAATGTTTTCAGAATCTTTATAAACGGATTACTTTGTCTTCAAGACAATTTCAATAAACTGGATTTTGCAAAACTCCCCCTTTTTCTTCAAAATGGACTGATCCAGTTGACTCGCATGGAGACGCCATGTTGTTTTTATACGGGAAGCTTATCGAAACTATTTAAAAACATTCACAGAATTTTTAAGAAAAACTGTTTTATATATTCTATACTGAATGAATAGCATCATGTATACCAACTTCATTTTTCTTTTCAGATAGCAGAATCAATAAATCAACTTTAGCGAACAGTTTAGAAAGTTTGGACAGAAATAAAGTGTTGTGTTACATCTGTGGCCCATTATCAATGTTACAAGATATGGAGAGAACATTAGTTGAACTAGGAGTCAGTGAAGATAGGATCATGTATGAAAAGTGGTGGTAGTGATAAGTGATAATAGACATGCTGGATGAAGATCGATAATTTAAAGGAATTATGGAGGGCAAAGATGAAATATTACATGTATTAAATATATATATTATATTAATATTAAATATCCACCTGAATTTTCCAATAATATGGCAGAAGTGGTCATGAAATCAGTGGGAATTGTCCCTGGGATGAGCATAAATATTTAGCCCAACACTTAGTTTATTCACCTCTTCAAGAGTTGAGACCAGTTCAAAAATAAAATACTCATTTGTTATTTATATATATATATATGTTTGTGATGTAGCACAGTTGTTTTGCAAGAAATAAACAATAAGAGTTCTTTACAAAATCTAGTATTTATTTTTTTAAGTCTGGGAAATACATTTTCAAAATACAATAATTTTACCATGATTTGTGATGAGGATTAAATACGGGGTCAAAATAATATTTTTTTAAAAAATGAACATTCCAAATTCAAAGATATTTTGTTGACATAGATGATATACAGGTCAAAATAATATTTTTAAAAAAATGAACATTCCAAATTAAAAGTTTTTCTGTTCACATAGATGATATACTTCTAACAAAAATATTCATTTGTTAGGTGCACAAAAGTGATACGCTTGTAAAAGTTCAATGGAGCCTTTTCCACAGCATTTTAATTAGCTCAATATCAGTTGACATAAGAAATTTGGATATTGACGGTTCATCCTTAAATATTATAGCAACCAGGTATCGTTCATCAATAACAATTCATATTTTTCAAAAGCCTTGTTAATTTTCAAATCACCTTCATGATATACAGGGTTATTCTAATCATTTCATAACTGAATTTGTCTGAATTAGAACTGTTTTGTTTTTGGAGTTTTAATATTTTTTTTATCCCTTCGCCTTTACTTTTACACACAACAGGACTTTGATGTAAGTTCATTGTACCTACAAACTATATGAAAGTATTTTAAATTTAGGGGTTACACATTGTTTTACCCAAGTAAACAAGACTGCTGCATGCCAATAGAATTGTCTCAACACTAATAGTACATGTATGTACTTCTCTACCAAAGGTGAAGTTATACCCTACATGTAGTTTAGAACTAGACTCTGCCCATTGTGTAGTTTTAGGAAACCAAGATGAACAACATTAGAGTACATAGAAAATATATCATATTTAAAAGTGTTCATTACCAAATGTACATCTTAGTGCACACATTGAGTCTATTATATTTACAATGTCTAAAATGTTTCATTGTTTCAAATCCGACTATGTACTACAACATGTAATCCAGTTCATATCTGAGATAATTGTTTTTGTCGTCATTATAAACACGAGGGTATGCTGGTATCATGGAGTCCTGGGCTCCTATATAGACTGTGTTATACACCTTCCAGTAGACGTCTCGCACTTTCCTAGCTGGGTGGAACAATCCCTGGAACACACAACACAAAATCATTACATTCAATTCTTTTGATGCTTTTGTTAGATATTTCTTGATTTCATATCATTTCAATAACTTACAGAAGACACATGTCCCTATGTACAGAATATACTGAATCAGTTACAAACGAACATGAGAATGGTAATTTAAAACTAAAGGACTCTGTTCCAAGATAGTTTCTACAATGGTCCTCTTTTCTATATAGCTTTGAAATCTCGTTAGGAGCTCTGCATTTATAACCATTAAAGACCAGAAGAAGTGAGTATTTCCCACAATTCTTTCATATTCTATCGTATTTGGGGATTCCCCATTATACGACGTCCGATCATATTGCAGGATGTTATCACGTGAACAATCATGAGCCCATGCTTATTCAGTGCTGCGCATGCGTTAAGTAAAATTTGAAATCGTGGAATGGCGTTTATTTCAGTTAAACATCATTTCAGCATCATCATTTCAAAACTACGGTAATACTATTGAAGTTACTCGATCCAAACTTGTAGAGAATACTCATAAGACAACTGCGAACACTGTGAGATCCATTTCAATGGCAAATGAGGCCTGTTTATAAAATTGGTCATTGAACGTGCCGAATACGACAGGTCATATTTGGGAAATCTCACCCCCTGATTAAAGACTAACATTTTCTTCTATCTGATGGATATTTGAATTCTGTGTGTAATTTTCTACCAAAAGAACTTTCATTTGCACCATTATTTACCTTTACGTATGTACGTATGGACAGACAGACAGATGGACGCGTCTAGGCCGACAATATGTGGTAGGGACATAAAAAGTTGCCAATATTCTAGGATTTAACAACAACAGGGCATATTGTTAGCTTACCTGTAGGGCATATTGCAACACTCTGGAAGGGCCCAGTCCTACTCTCATGCCCTCTATAGATGACATGAAAGCTTGGACCACGTGAGGGGATGACTCAAAAACATTGGGCCACACATGATTGAGTAAATGAGTGAGAGCATCTTCACAGCCAAAGCCAAATACGCCCAGAGCTATGTGACCAATGGCTGACATACTGGTCTGTCTATGAACAAGGTCCCTGGAAAACATAAACGTAGGTAGGTTGATAATTGATCAGTAACGCACGTATGTTGATCAATTGATTACATGCGCCACAACCATATTAACTACGCTTGATAGTCCACTAACAAGGCGTTAAAATATGAATATACTGTGAGTCATATAAACAAAAGGGTATGAGTTCTAAGCTCACGTGTACTGTGAAGTGATTTAAATTTTTCTTTCAAACCTTGAGAAATGATTATAAACTGAACATAAAACTGAAGATTTTTAATGGAAATCTAAGCAACAAACAATAAATTTCGAATCAGGATTAAGTGATTGTATGATCTTTTGGGATAATGGCGGCAACCTTTTTAAATTTACCCAAAAAAATGTTCTTCATACGTCTTGTCCAAGACTTATCTGTATGACATATAAAAAACATTTGTAAGTTGTACTGCAAACTGAAGCAATGATTTGAAAAAAAAACAACTTTCGAACAGTCATAATTTATGGGCTTTTCATATCAAAAAAATTAACTAAAATAACTTAAAACTGGAATCATATTTACAGAAATTATAAAACATGCTATTTTTGAGCAGATGGACAAGTCAAAGTGAGTGATTGCAATCTCACCATGTGAGCCCATAAAAAACAAAAACCATGGAATCTTACCTATCCATGAGAGCATCTTCCAACAATGGGGACACTGCATAGATATAATCCTTGCCCATTTCTCCTATATACTCAAACATGAATGAAAGGGATTTCAGGACACCATTCTGGACATTCAACTCCGGCACTCTGTATTCATTCATAAGGCCGGGCAGCACTGTGAATGGAGAGCACGTCTCTGCAACGATAGCTATAGCAACGGTGGTACACACACGGTTCTGTCTTTCCTGCACTTTTAAGTTATTTAGTAAAGTGGCCAAGACATCATGTGGACTGAAAACATAAATTCATTCATATAGCTTATTTCATGTTTATTTTGCATAATTTACATTCAGGGTTTGGGGCTTTTAAAGACCCAGTTTTGTGTAGAATTTTATTAGAAGCAAAATTTTATCTTAGGTTTTCATTTGATGATAATATGAGTATTGATAGCATAATCTGGGCTATATAATCTCAATTTATTCATACTGATATAAAAAATATGAGTGAACATGCATATCTACAAATATAAGAGTTTTTATTCACAAAATAACGCAAAAACAGAATTCATGTTATTTTCACTCACCCAATTGCCTTGGCAATATAACCAAATGTGTTGACAGTAGCCCTCCTGATAGCCTTCTTGTGAGCCTTCAGTAGTTCAAGTAGCTCAAAACAAATCCTCATCCACTCTCTGGCGGACACAAACTCTGATCCCCTGTCTGCTATTCTACCAACCAGATCAATGCAGTTCTCTTGGACTTTCTCGTGTCTGGAGGTAAACAAAAGCTTTAAGATATACTAAATGGTTGGTAACATCAACAGAACTGTACTTATTTTGATAAAGTATCATGCTCAGTATTTGATTGCTTTATGGATTCAATGAATTAAACAAGACAAACAGTGATAAATGTCCCACTCTGAGAAGCAAAATGACTGCCAGACAATCTACCCAGCATGCCCAAGACTTGATCAGATCTTGGCACAAGTCTAGTCCTGCATCTTTAAAAATTTCAAGTTTGAATGGATAAGTGTTTTTTCTTGAATTTTGATGACACAATTAATGTGGCACCTGCCCAGCAGCACAAGATGATAACAATATAGCACCTTTCCACAAACATTGTATCAGATAATATTTAAAAAAATATATGTTAAAATTAATGAAATACCTGTTCTTCAAAATAGGTGTCAGACGTGGTAATAGATCTTTGATAGGTGGCGTCATCTTAGTCATTCCTATGACGTTGACGATTGCCTTGAGTGCACCAAGGATGCTACCTAAGACCTCTGGGTACTCCTCTCCCAGATACTCATAGAGCACCACTCCCAAGTGACCCATCAGCTTCTCCTGGAAATAACATAGGAATGAACTTCAATTAAGATTTTCAGCTATTAGGACTGTATAATCCACATTATGTATCAAATAAATACAATTACATGTAGACTATACATCTAATTAGTAACAGTATGGGTTGAACATCCTTTTTACATACAATGGACAAAATTATGCTCACAAAGAAAAACTGTATACAAAACTCTTTCTAAAATACTCCTGACCAAAAGAATCATCTTACCTCCTGACATGTCTTCATGACAACAGCAATCCTGGAGATGAGATCTGCTGCCTGCTGTCGTACCTTGGCTGACTTGTTGTTGAGACGCCACAGAATCGTACCACATATCTGGGGCAGGTAGGGCTTTACTCGCTTACTGAGAGAGTTCACTACCTGACCAAACCCATTCAACATAACCACATCCTAGAATAGATTGATATAATAACAAATTATGATATTTTCAATCAAAGATTGACATCATAGCAACATTTAGCAAATCTGAAAGTTGATAATAGTTATGCATTATAAAGATTCAATCAAAGATTAACATCATAGCAACATTTAGCAAATCTGAAAGTTGATAGTAGTTATGCATTATAAAGATTCAATCAAAGATTGACATCATAGCAACATTTAGCAAATCTGAAAGTTGATAGTAATGCATTATAGGATGGTTGTCAAGATTTGGTACTGCTGGAAACCTTATAGTACCTACTTTCATATTGACTCAGTAGCAATATTACGAAGAGACAATATATGTCAAAAACACTGATTTCCATATAAACCACAAATGATGATGAGGCAGAAAATTTTCAAAGTTAGAATTTACAATAACTCACTATTAGAGATAGATGTGGTCATGATTAAGTTTCAAATAATTGATTGCCATACCTCAGTTGTCTGTTCCTGGAAGGCATACAGTATACCATCAATAAGCTGTTCCTCTAGTCTAGAGTCAATGTCTGCTGCTCCCAGGTTGGCCATGATCTTCTCTATAGTTTCCATGACCATCTTACGGTACTGCTCAGCTTCATCCTTCAGGTCATCAACCACACGTCCAACAATCTCTGCAGCTCCAACCTTGTTGGCAATCTCAACTGTAGTGTCCACCAACTGAAAGCAGGGAATTTGTTATGACCATTAAACAACAACAAAGTTGAACAATGAACTACATATATGATGACAAAATGAGATATTATACAAACGGTGACTGCCATTGAGAGCAATAGTGAAAATTATTTCCCTTTGGGAATATCCTCTAAAATGTACTATTCCCGAAGCAGTAGGCTGAGGGAATGCCACATTTTAGAGGATATTCCTAAGGGGAAATCATTTACACTATTGCTCGAAATTAGGCAATTATGACCAATCAGGATTAGTGTTACATATTGGGTAAATAATAAAACAGAATACTAAGTGGATTTCTTTACAGGAATTAATGACAAAAAGCTATCATGGAGCAAAATGTCACCACCTGACATTTGTTACAGACACCAACTTTAAACTGACGCCAGACTTACACCATCCACAAAATAGTTGGAGAATATAACAATATGTCACCACTTGTGTAGTGATATACCTGTTGGTTAATATTATGTCAATAACTGAACGAACCTGTCTATAGTTGCGTCTGTCTAGGGCCATTCTCTGATTCCAGAAGTGTTTAAAGAATGGAGGTAGGATCTCATCCTTGATGTACTGGGGCTCAACACCATCTGTAGCACAACACTGCTTGACTACCTGTTATTAGAGATAAAATCACTTGTAGAATTAGATGCACAAAGCAACATAGCTCTATTCTGTAGAAGTGTGTGTACTCAAAACATGAGTGAATATTGCAATTTTGTTGTCCTTTATAACAACTGGTGTCTTTCATCTTACATATGTGACTTTTGGGATGAGATTGCTCTATTTTTATGGGGGTTATGGAATGAAGATGACAGAATCAGAGTGAGTCACATTACAAAATAGATTATCTAGCTATTGATATATATTTTTTTAGTTTACAATGATGTACCTAGACAGCTTGAATTATCTTAATATTTGTAAATACTCTAGTACATTGATCAATTTCTAAAGTGTCTTTTCTAATAAAGGCAATTGAGGTCCTTGGCTTGACACATAAAAATAAAAATATAAAAAATATGTAATTATTACCTTTAGTACAATTTTCTTCATCTCCTCATCAGGAGACTGAAACTCTCTCACCAGGATCAACATCACTTCCCTTGTGTAGTAATTAGCATACTCAGCATCCATGAGGGGGATCAGGTAGCCAATTGCTTTCAAGAACGCAGCTAGACCCTTGCCTCTGTGCTGCCTGATACCTTTCCATAGGGGCTTCAGAACACTGTCAAATGATTCAATACCATAAGGTGTAGCAGCCTCAGCAAGTGCAGCCAGGGCCAGAGCAGTGATTGTTCGAACTTTCTGCTGTTCATCTACCAAGCCTAGAAAAGGGGAGGATAGATGGGTATGAATAGAGGTTAGGGGTGTATGAACAATAGATATAAATATTAAGGTAATTTCAGTATATCATAACAGAAAAAACATTAGCATTTCCCATGTAACTAAATATCAGATCACAGATTATCCAATTCAATACATCATGAAGCAATACGGCACTTACCATGTTCAATGATTTCCACCAAATTCTTCAAATGTGGTAATATAGCACAACCCATAAGGATAGCAATCTGCTGTACAATCTTTATTCCAGTATGTCTTGCCTGCCAGGATTTCTTACTCCTACAGACAGCCTTCAAGAAGGGGAGGAGACTTGGAATGCCCAAGGCAGAAGCCACTACAGCAAAGGCACGTGCTGTTGTATTACGTACATACTCATCCATGTTGTCAATATCTGGCCTCATTGTGGAGATCATAGTGGCTAGACCTGCAGCCTGGAACAATATGGAACAAGAGTTGAGATTTTTTCTTGCATAGAGTGCAGATAGGTAACAAAATACTAATGTATTGTATTGAGATTTCTCGGCTAAACTGATAAAATATTCCTTTGGAGAAAGTACTGTGAATTTTTAATAATAAATCATTTAGGCCTACAGTACAAATACAAAAAATTTGAATACATTTTTAATCTAAATACTGAAGATCATCCACATTCAACTTAAGATGCCAAATGCGAACTCAGCTATAAATTTACATAGTAAATTTAATCTTCAATTTGAATCCTAGGGTGAGTGAACTTTTGGCCAATTCAAAATCATATACTGTAAAGCAGCTGTAACTAATAACAAGGCATTAACATGCAAAATGTCACCAACTCACATTTAATATAGACAGGACGCCTAAAACCAACCAAAAGTTGCAGACTATAACAATACATGTATGTTACCACTTATGATTTTGGTGACATAATAAAAAAATTAGTTAGGTCTTACCTTAGCCAAGTTAGAGATGATCTCTCTGCCCTCCACTCTGGCATAGTAATCCTCATCAATCAAAAGGGGCTCTATGACCACCAAGATTTTATGCACATATGGACGCACAAGATCATCAAGCTTATATAGGATCCTGTCTATAACCTTCACCAATAGATGTCTCTCCTGGTCCTCAAGTGTGGGAGACATGAGTAGCGGCAGAATCTGGTTGAACAATGCACCTGCTCCAATCTCACGAGATTTGTCTGTAATCTGTCGCAAGGCAGCCTAAAGAAAAGAAATATTTTCCACTTAAATCCAATATATTTTGTTGAGCAATGTTGGTATTGTGTTTGGTTGGTATAGTGAGTACTATTTCTGAAATTCCAACTTACATAATCATCTTTGTAGACATAATAATTTTCATATACCGTATTAGCCATGATTGGAGCCAGGGCGCTTAAAGTAAAGTTTGTCCTTATTAGCGCCCATGTTAGTCCTGACTGAGAAAAAATGCCGGAGTTTCACTTTCAGTTCAGAAAAAAATTGAAAAAAGTATTTTAATCGACAAGTCAATAGGAAATCGATTTAAAACTACTGAATTTCTTCTCAGCCTCATTTTGGATTGCATATCGGCACTGACAAGATAGCTAGATTACAGGAAAAATCACTGGTAGACGTCAAAATAATGGATATGGACTTGAATTACCAACATTATATACAACTTATGGTGAAAAGAGTGACATATTCAAGCTGGAATACCTATTGAAAACTGCAACAAGGCACAGACGTGAACAATATCGTACCTAAAACACAGCATTGTGGTCTTGTTGACCAAGAAAGCAAGATGGCCGCAGAAAAGTTAATCAGCTCTAGAACTTATCACTGTGTAACATATGTAAAAATTTGAACGGTTTGGCTGGAAACCTGTAGACAAGCCTCGATAGACAAGATTTTAGGACGGAAAATCTAAAATGGCAGCCTTAACATTTACCCAGAATGCCCAAAAACTAATCAGTTCTTGACGTTGATATGTAGAAACATCCCTGAAAATTTCAGATGAATCCCTCAAATGGTTTGGCTGGAAACCTGTAGACAAGTCTTGAAAGTGAAGATTTTAGGACGGAAAATCCAAAATGGCCACCTTAAAATTTACCCAGAATGCCCAAAAACCAATCAGTTCTTGACGTTGATATGTAGAAACATCCCTGAAAATTCCGAATGAATCCCTCAAATGGTTTGGCTGAAAATCTGTAGACAAGTCTTGAAAGTGAAGATTTTAGGACAGAAAATTCAAAATGGCCACCTTAAAATTTTACCAGAATGCCCAAAAACTAATCAGTTCTTGACGTTGATATGTAGAAACATCCCTGAAAATTTCAGATAAATCCCTCAAAAGGTTGGCTGGAAACCTGTAGACAAGTCTTGAAAGTAAAGATTTTAGGACGGAAAATCCAAAATGGCCACCTTAAAATTTACCCAGAATGCCCAAAAACTAATCAGTTCTTGACGTTGATATGTAGAAACATCCCTGAAAATTTCAGATGAATCCCTCAAAAGGTTTGGCTGGAAACCTGTAGACAAGTCTTGAAAGTAAAGATTTTAGGACGGAAAATCCAAAATGGCCACCTTAAAATTTACCCAGAATGCCCAAAAACTAATCAGTTCTTGACGTTGATATGTAGAAACATCCCTGAAAATTTCAGATGAATCCCTCAAATGGTTTGGCTGAAAACCTGTAGACAAGTCTTGAAAGTGAAGATTTTAGGACGGAAAATCCAAAATGGCCACCTTAAAGTTTACCCAGAATGCCCAAAAACTAATCAGTTCTTGACTTTGATATGTAGAAACATCCCTGAAAATTTCAGATGAATCCCTCAAATGGTTTGGCTGGAAACCTGTAGACAAGCTGAAAAGTGAGACGCCGCCCGCCCGCCGCACGCCGCCCGTCAAGCTGACTACAATATCGTACCTCTTGTTAGGTACAATAAAAAGTAACTTAACCAGCAAGTACTCTATTATCCCCAACTGGATTTCTTACGTTTGACCCTACTGATCGTTGAGTCTCCACCCAGGGACTCACCCACAGGCCTCCAAAAGTCTGGGGGGAGTTGCGCTAATGGGGACATGGGCGCCAAATTACGGCTTATACAGTATTTGAGAATATTATTCAAAGGAATTAGTTCATAGTTGGAGAAATGTACTATTTCACTTGGCATTTAGCTGCAATTTGGTTAAAATAAGATGAGAAAGTTATTTTTGTTAACCCCTATTGAAAAATATATGTAAAGCCCATCTCAAAGCTATATCTATAAAATGCATAATAATAGGTATTATAAATCATAAAGCGTTGAAGTCAGTAATAATCAGTGTTCAGTGAAATCTACATACACTGTAGTTTTATTGCTAGAAATTCTGAGTAGAATATGGGATATTATATTCTTCAAATAGCTAACTCAAAATAATATAATATAATGCAAAACATGTGGACCTTTGAAACATGTGGACCTTAGAAACATGTGGACCTTTGAAACATGTGGACCTTAGAAATGACTGACAGAATTGACAACTGAATGACAGAAAAACAAACATGATTAAATCCAGAGAACTGATGATTATCAAAGTAAGTGACATCATTATGTGTCCTTAAATAGTTAAAATTATATCAAGTAAAATGACATCAGGGGTTTCACTAAAATTTCAAAACAGTGTAATTAAATGAAAATAACAACAGGCAAAATTAATGGAAATCATAAATTTAACATAGAAAATTTGTAAAGTCCCAAAAAACAACGGGTGAAAATCTCCTGTTGCCTGCTGCTAATGAAACCCCTGGGCATATTCTTCAACTAGAAAGAAGCTAATTGTAGGCCATGATTTCTAATGATGTATAAGATGCGTCATGATAATTGTTGCATGTTTATACAGAGAAATAATTGACGTCAAAATCAAACACAGTGAAAATAGAACCACATTTTAAAAAACGTGAAAGATGGGTCGGATGATGAGTACATGTATCTATATTTGAAATTTTTGAGGAAATAAAATCAATTGATTTGTCAAAACCTTGTTCTTGGTAAATATTTTTGAATTAGCCACATGATACTGCAAAATGAATTGATTTGTCAAAACCTTGTTCTTGGTAAATATTTTTGTATTAGCCACATGATGCTGCAAGTGATACCCTGGCCATAGAGGTGCCAATTGTCTCCCTTTACCATTAAGAGATAAAAATATGTATTCAAAAATCAGTTTCTCCCTTATTAAGGGATCACGTAGAAGAGTTATTAGTCTAGGTCTGCAGTTGACTTAAGGTCAATCTTTCTAAAATTTACATACCAGATACCATTGAATAGAGAATTCCTAATCAATTTAAAAATACAGTGTATCAATATTGATTAAATTACATAAAACAGACAGTTACTTTGGCAATATAGGTCATAATTCTTAGACTCACTTCCTTTGCAGTATATTTATATAATACAATCAAATAGCTAGGCACATCAGTGCTACAGCCTAAAAATCTATGTCGCTATGACACATTATGCAAGAACAGAAAACCAATTTCTTCAAAAGCAGGAGCCAAGACCAATGGTGTATGTGACCAGTATGGACACTGTAAATTAGATATGAGCATTAGTTCATATAACTGGTTAGTTTTCATTTGTCTGGAAAGAGTAGGAAAATATGTTGATTTTGTGACAGCAATTAAGCATTTTAGTTCTTATGAAGCTATAGACAATGCTACAAACTATAATCAAAACCAGATACAGCTAAGTATTCTGTTAATAATAAGGACAATACCACCAATCTCATGGCATTCTAAAATAAGAACTATTAAACGTAAGCATCATCAAACACTTGGGAGACATCCACGCTGATTCCCTTACGTCAATGCATTTCATCATAACAACATAATTTATCAATCAGTTCTTAACACAAATGTATACTACGTAAGAAACAGATGTTCAATTAATATTACACCCATCCCATAGTATTCTAAAATAAGAACTATTAAAATAAGCATCATCAAACACTTGGGAGACATCCACGCTGATTCCCTTACATCAATGCATTACATCATAACAACATAATTTATCAATCAGTTCTTAAGACAAATGTATACTACGTAAGAAACAGATGTTCAATTAATATTACACCCATCCCATAGTATTCTAAAAGAATAAGAACTATTGAATATGAACATCATCAATACTCAGGATACAGCCACGTAAACTCTATTACGTCAATGAATTTCATCATAACAACACAATTTATCAATACTTGGTCAAAAGTAAAACAAATCACATGACCAGTGCTCTCCTTAAGGCAAAAAAATTAGTCACAGGACCAACGGACTGACAAGTTGGAAGAGTTCACCAGTCCAGACCAAAAGTAGCCAGTCCATACTAAAATGTGATTTGCTACTGATTGCAAAGGAAAAATATTTCAAAATTTTTTTGTTTCAGCACAAATTGACTTTTAGAGTACTGGGATTTTTATTTCCACAAACTTGATCATTCATGTTTCTGATGGCCTCTCAGATATTAATGTAAATCCAAAAGCATTAGTTTTCTATTCTATCCAAGAATATTCTTGAAAACCTTCTTGAGATATTTTGAGTTGCGAAAGAACAAGGAACAAATGAGACTAAAATCTAAACATTTTAGTACATATAAACCTCCACAAACCATATCAATTTAATACGTTTAAATGATTACACTGCTTTCTACTATTAGACACAAAATTATATGCTTCCTTTACAATGGGAACATCATTGCTAAAAAAATGTTTCCATAATTAATACCTAGTAAAAGCATAGAGTACTAGAATCAGCACAGGAATTATTTATCATTGTAAAGACGCAATTCAGCAACGTCATTCATCAACGCAATTCAAGAACGTAGAATATGTAATAATTACACCTGTAGGCGATATATGCAAACATAAATGCAATGGCGTGTGACTCACTCAAAAGATGTATGTAAATATACATGTGATGGCGTGTCAGTGACTCACTCAAATAATTGCAGAATATGGTATATAAACCATAAAAACTTGAATCGCTAAGCATAATCTCAGAATCTCATAAACTAAACTTTGACTAAACTTTCTATTAACTAGCACCGAAATATAATTATCAACAAAATGACATTTTGGAGCAACAAGCGCTGCACATATGGACTGCCTAAGAAGTTCAACATTTCTGTAATGGGATCGAGAGGATGTGGCAAGTCATCCATTGTCAACCAATTCATGCACAACTGTCGGACCACAAATCAGAAAGCTTCAGAGAACATACATTCATTTAACATTCAGAATGGTGATAAAAGTATCTCATTTGATATACTGGATACGACTGACTCGTGTTATTACCCAACAACCATGAGGAAGTTTCCAATAGCTGATAGCCAAGCATTCATACTGGTGTATGCCCTGGACGATCCAGATTCATTTGATGAAGCAATTAACATCTATAACGAAATCTGCAAGCAACGAAAATCTAAGCCTGGGGTACACATACCAATTGTGTTTGTGGCCAACAAAAGCGACCTATGGGATGAATGGGATGACGAAATAACTTTGATGAATCGTGTGATCTCACAAACCACTGTTGAGATAGATATGGAGATGGCGCATCTAGAGGTATCTGCTAGAGATAATATTAATGTTATTGACATTTTTGAAAAAATCCTACAACTCATTGGGTGTATGTTTCCACTGAAAAAAACAATAGAGCAACAGAGGCTTTCAAACATACAACCACCAAAGCCGAAATCAAAACTACGCCAAATTTTATCATTGATCTCGAAGAAGCCAAAAGATCCAGAAGTTAGCGAAGTGAAAATAAATATGATAGGCATTGAAGATGATCTAGGTAGCAGTGTTAGTGACTCCAGTTCTTATAACTGCTCAGACTTCAGTTCATACAGTTCAATTTCCCCAAGAAAAGCATCCCTCCCCTCCAGCGCCCTCTATAAAAGCATATGGGCCTCCTCATATGAAACTATCCCAGCCACCTCTTCAATGCTAAACATTAATGATAAAGAAGATGCTTTGTTCCGCAAGGGAAGCCTTGACTGGCCTAGATGCTCAAATGACTTACAGGTTCCAAGGAAAGAGGAGCGTAGAAAATCCCTTGATACACAATTAACGAAAATGAAGCAGAATAGGTACAGAAATGACCGTCTATTTACACCTTTGATAGATGCCACCAACAAGCAGAATTCACCAAAGTCATCCTATGAAGCAATTCCAACATTTGACTTTCTCATCAAGACAGAATCACTATCATTTGAAGATGAAGTTCATAAAATGGCAAACTCAGATTTGGAGAAAGAAACAGAAACTAACAAAAGTTTAATGAACCTTTGTAAAAGCATTCAAATAGATGCAGTGAGCATCATGCAATGTCTACCTAGACAACCTAAACATTATGTCAGGTATTATGACTGACAAGATTAGGAGCTTCAGATATACATATATACAGGGTGTTCATAGTCTTTTAAATAATTTGCAATACAAAGTATTTACTGTGTAAAGTGTAGTGAGATGTTATGCACACCCTGTATGACTGTTTTCTTCAATGGTTGATGTAGAGGTTCGAGATTATTTTAAAATATATGAAGATTACTGTCGTAGAGTAAAAATGTTTTTGAGATTTTGACTCAAATACGTTATAAAAAGTGTAGTTATGAATTCCTGATAGTAACAGACATATGTAATAAATTTAAATGCATAATTGTAGTGATTTGATGTTATTAAAGAATTAAGTGTGAATCACAATGTAATTATCACTCTTAGTCACTGTCACTATTTATTCAAAGAATTACCTATAATTATTTTTGTTACTATTTGTTAATATTTTTACGTTTTTTCCTCATTGATGAGAATTTGTGTCTGTTTTATGTATTTAAGTTGCTGACAAATAAATTTTGAAAGAGCTTAATAAAAGTTTGTGTTTTTGACCATCTTTAACCTGACCGACCCCTTCTCTAAAATGGAATAATTATTTCTCTATTGTTAATCTCTTACTTTTCTCATGGGAGGCGTTCCATTCTTGATCTTGAGGAGGAACTTCATTATCTTCCTCTCCTTCTGTTCCTCTGGTGATAGTGTCTCCTCATCCACATCTACAAGCAGCTTGTCAAAGTACTGGATGTCATCTGGTTTCATCATTGGCAAATTGCCCTTGGGTTGCATGTCAACCATCTGAACCTACAAGACATAATTGTAGGGGTTGTGGTAATATACAGCAGAAGTGCTGGGTTTTTGAGCATACATAAGGAATGATCTCCTCATTATTAAAGCAAGTTGAGATTTTCAAATTTTACACTCTTTTAATAATGAGAAAGGTGAAAGATGTGCATATTTTGCTAACCTCGATCAGAATAGTGAATATGAGAATTTTGTACAGGGGAAAAATTTTGAGAGAAAAACTGGTAAATTATGTAAAGGCCACTGGTTGACAAAATCTCTGCTGATTGTGAATGCATTTGCTGCCTTTATGAATAATCATAGGTTCAGATATCTACATAATTATACGTGAGAAAGTGAGAATAACAAACTTTGCCTTAAACATGTTACCTTATTATCTGGTGTCTGCATGCGGAATCCCATTGGGGTGCCAGCCATTGGGGTGGGGGTGGCTACCAACTTCCTTGCTGGGGTGCGGATAGGGATATACCCAGCAGGGGGGTTAAGCACCTGCAATATATAGCATACAAAATGTTATGAATAATCAACATTTCATAGAGCACAAAAATGAAAGGAACTCTGTCTGCTTTTATCTTTTATAGCTATATATACATAATAAATCAAATGGCAAACATAAAATATTTATTGGATCTTTTACTTGATAATGAAATAAAACAAGTGAAGTTATGGCAACCACGATAACAAGTGATTTCACTGTAAAAATATGTGGATTTTGTACCTAATGTCAGTTTCTCACTTTAAACAATTTTTAAATGCCACCCCAAAAAGACCTATGAAATTACTTTAGAAAATCCTGTGTATTTTCCCCGAGGTATGATTATACTGACTGACCTTGTAACCAGGTGGGAACATAGCTTCCAACTCCTCATCAGCCAGTGGTCTGTTCCTCTCATCTATCTCTCTCTGCCAGGTGTACGCTTGCATCTGCTCAGGAGTCATAGACATCAGATGACCAGGTGTGGGGGTAGCCATTGCCATAGCTTTAGCCCCAGAGGGAGTCACACCACTAGGAGTAAACCCTCCTGGTGTGGCACCACTAGGTGTAAATCCTCCAGGAGTTTGACTGGGAGTGGCTCCCCCAGGGGTCATAGAAGGTGTCATACCTCCTGGGGTGGCAACTTGAGGAGTCTCGTCCCATCTGGAGCGTCGTTTACTTGCCCCTGGGGTAGGGGTCTCTTGGATTAAGTCCTCAGATGCTCTGTCTGTACGTGGGGTCTCAGCCCATCCACTACCATGCCCAGGTGTACCTGAGATAAATATCTTGAATGTAAAATTTTGATCAAACAACTCACTGATAACTCACAGTTCACTTGTGGATATGTACATCTGTTGCTATTATTTTGAACATAATTTTATCAGTTGATAATAAATATCACTGAGAGAATAAGAATACGGATAGCTGCAGATATTGAATTTAAACAGTATGTATTGTTTCTACCATAGGACTCACCTCTTTCAGTATGGGGTGTTTCATCCCATCTATTACGTCGTGCACTAGGGGTGCTAGACTGGTGCCCTGGGGTCATGCTTCCTGGGGTATCTCGTCCAGGTGTAGCTGCCCCAGGGGTGGCATGCCCAGGTGTCTCAGCCCACTGGCGAACACTGGGGGTGGCACCCGACCCTGGTGTCTCATCTCCCTTGCGTCTACCTGGGGTCTCATCCCATCTAGTGTTTGAAGGTGTTGTGCTACCTTCTGCTGCATCCCAACTGGATTTCTTCTGCTTAACAGGTGTTGCATCATCTGCTGCTTGATCCCAACGTCGACGTTTCTTTGGGGCCTCTGCTGTACCATTGGTTGCCTTCAGGTCACCAGCTTTAGCTTTCTCTGTCATCTGTTGACGTAGGCCAATCTGGAAAACATCGGAGATAATCTTAATGTACACTTTCTTAGTCTGCAATAGGGGATTAAAGATTTAAATGTTAGATCTTAATGTATTAATTGTATATACTTGTGAAACACAATTTGTCATGCAACTAACCTGATCTTTAGACAGATGTTGTTCTGCCATGACGTCAGCATAGGTACGTACTTGAGAACGGGGATCTGGAGTTTTACCACCTAAAAGCACAAAAGCAAAAGCGTCACGACAGAGTCGCAACGCAATGAAGAAAACCATTAGTATTGAATCTTAAAATAATACATATTTCTAGTTTTGATGCTTAGTTTTTCAATTCCTCTAATTAACCCTTTGCCTCTGTGACAGGTCAAAATCTTGATGTTAAGCATTCAGGAACTTCTGTAATGCCTCTTAAGACAGTGAACCTGCATAACGTGATAAAGGGTTAATATGCAAAACTAAAAGTAAAAATCTTTCCCCATAATTAAGGGTGCGAATAAGTAATAAGTCACAGTTCATGTACATCATAGTAAGAACATAAATAAACAGTATATTTACCCCATTAGTTTTGCATCGAGGTCCTATTTTCATTTCATTACTTTGCAAAGAATGAGACAAATGTATAAAGGAAAAAAACTGCCTGATTTCACTCATTTTTTGTTATACGTACTGTTCCCATGGTAGCAATCTTGTTGTCAATGTGACATCATCAAGGAGCCTTAACGTCATTGCGACGCTATGAACAACACTGTGCCTGCCTACAATCAATCTCAAAGTTTGTGTAGTTCTATTAAGATTGAATGAACAAATCAATCCAGCTTATCCAGTTTTAAAGTTTACTTTATGTGTTCAAATTATTATAACAAATTCATATTTAACATTTTTATCAGTTTTAACTCTCATTTTCTCAAGCTGAATTGATTAGCTAATGTGTAGAAACTATAGGGGCTTGTTTAAAACGTGAAGAGTTGGAACTTTTTAAGGTAGATATACACAGTTACTGGTGAACTAAATGGTTTTATTTGATCTTTATTTTGAAAAATCTTCATTAATTGTCACATGCAAATTTTTTCTTACTTTTCTTTATCTATTGTGATTTTGTAACAAAATCTTAATTTTAGAAATTGATTTAAATTGGAATACTTAAAAAAAATTGATGACAAGCCCCTTGATTTAATAAAGAAACCTATTCCTCTATTTGTGGCCAGGCGTTGCACATCAGCGCTAAGAATGAAAAAGAATCTCGATTAGTCTCGGTTTTGAACTTGTTATTTTGGGCATGTATGTCATGTATGTCACAATGAATCTCATTTGTATGATAAACATCAAACACATTTGCTTTAGAGGCAATGCTATTTAACAGCATTTTGATTTGATGTTTAATCCTTCACAAACTCTCAATTTCTTATAACAAACTGCATAAATTTCCCATTATCTTCATTTTGAAGCATCATATCTATAAGATATTGTTTTACGTTACTTGTCGAGAAACTGAAAGTTGTGAAGTTGAATATTGGTGGTTTCACAGGCACACTACATTTACACTCACTCTACCTTTCTCAGGACCGACCCATCATAGACGTGGTACTTTCTAATATAAGTAGCATAAAAGTTCAGTTCAATATTACACAAAAAATGTGTTTTAACATGGCAAAGATAAGCATTTATCCTGATGACAGGTAACCTAAAGTTGCATTTCTTAAATGACTCTGTTAAACATGAATTTAGTTGCGAATGGTACAAGAATATTTGGTTACTAACTTCTATGCTTATGTATGATTCAGTATCAGCATACATTCAGTCCTCACACTCAAGTCATTTACATAAATGTCATTATCAATACATATGTAATGTGAATACAAAGAAATATCAACAATGAACGACACGTGTCATACACACATTCAAATGAAGAGTTCAAAATGGCGTCCACACGTGTTGTTCCTTGAAACATGGCAAGTTGTCATTTGTTAGTCACAGTTAATTAAAATAAGAAAATGACAGAAAATAATAGTGTACCTATGGCAAATGGGTCGTGACGTTCAGGAGATATGATCATATTTCGCCTTCTAGCTCTGTACTCGTCCTCTCGATCTGCAATTTTCGGAACCCTGTGCTCAGCAAATGGATCATAGTCCTGTAATATGAGACAAAAATTTATTTTGACATATGTCATTATGCTTATGATTTTAAGCTTATAATGAACATTTTGAAATCAATAATCTGAGGGTTTAAATATTGTGAACAATATTGCCTCAGAAAAGTAACTGGTTAATATGATTACTTACCTTATCTGTCTGCATATCGTTAAGTATGTTGAGGGGGGCTGTGTAAGGATTCCTTCCTTTCCCCAGTTGTTGTAGGGAAGACGTGTCCTCATCATCCTAAACAACACACATTATAGTGAATCAAAAACACGTTCATTTTATTTTATTATAGTACTGGGTTGCCATTTCAAACTTACCTGACTCTGTTTTAAAATTCCATAACCAAATGTGTTGTCCTTTTAACAAAAAAGGATGAGTAAAAGAATCAGAAGTTACTATACTACATGGTAATTTTAAAAAATCCTGAAGAAACAGCCTGTGATAAATTACTTATGCAACTTTTTATAACAGAAAATTGTTATTTGAGATTAGTTTTTCAACATTTTTAAAAAAATCTAAAATTTCTTTTTCAGAACTAAATCTCATTTTCTGTTAACATAATAATACATATGATATGAATATTGTAAATGCAGGAATTTAAAGGCAGCTTATATGAAATCCATCAATCATGTACTCACATCTGCCTCGTCCATGGTCCCAATGGATGTGTTGTAACCTTCATATTTACTACTGGCTGTGCTGTACAAATCTGGATCAAACCTTCCACCTACTCCTAGTCCAACGCGAGCATCTCCTCCATTTTCTGTACCTTCATCATCGCCAGCTCCACCTGGTGGTGCTTTCAGGTTAGCTCTCTTTTCTTGTAGGGCTGCCACCTGCCGCTCGATTTCTAAAGCAGAAAAATTTAGGTTAGGCTAGTAAGGGTAAGAGTAATTTATGAAACTTCGAAGTAAGGGGTTCCTTCGTTGTGGGGCTATTTTGACCAACTCATATATTTCGTTATAACAAAGAAAATATCTACTCCGCGCAATGGGTATATCATTTGCCGTTAACCTTCATTTCTGTTTGAAGTCCAATAACGCTACGAGAAAAAGCTATTGCAAATGGCGCCAGAGTATCATACTCTAAAATGTACCATTTCTTTTTAAATATTTTTAATGGCATAATATAGACTTGTAACATGATAACATCGGCATATGTTTTCAACTCTGGAGGTATTAAAGGCTGATATTACTCCAAAATGCAATATTTGGACATATATCATTTGTTATAACTGACTACATGATTAATGCATTAATATTAAGATGACATGGTTATACTTATAAATGTTTTTTTCTGAGTAGTTTAAAAAAATAAAAGAATAAAATACGACAGGGGTGGGAATCAAACCACGACACCCTGCGCTGTAGTAGAGAATCCCACCGCTAGACTACAGGTATGATTGTTATTCAATGTATGTAATTTAATGAACATATTCTTTGTTCTAATCGATATTCTAAATTTGAGTCTGGCTATCATATGTGTCATATATTTTGATGCTTCTCTGCCATGTTATTTTCAAAAAATTAACATGGCTGAAACTCCCTAAATTACAAAAGGCTACAGCTTTGCTGCATATTATACCACTACTATTTGAAATATACAAAAGATATGCTATGAACATTTGTTTCTTTTTAAGAAATATAGACCAAAGAACAGGTCTTACATCGACAAATATACCCCCAGGGATTAGTGCTTGCAACAGTATTGGATCTCACTGCCGGTAAATTTCACCTCCATTACCTTGCCGTTACGGATAATCGTTGATACTGATAATGTTTTTTAAAATCCCAGGGAAAAACCTGAAAGTGAAACTAAAATATTTGGAAAAATCCTTTTGCTTATCCACCCTTTACGAATGCTGTGCAGTTGATTGACAGATAAGCTCTTCAAATGTGGAGAAATATGTGGAGAAATATACATGATAAAACATTCTTAAACGAACAATTGTTTCGTTAATTTGACAATGGATCGCAATGCCAATTGTCATGTTGCAGCAGCGTGGCGATTATCGGCAATGGATTTTATTGCCGGCAATTGAGAGTATCTACTGCTGCTGCCGACAACCCGGCATTACCAAAAGGCACTACCAGGGATAGGCACAAACATTTTCTGGGTTTGAAAGCTTTTGTGCCTAGCCATAAGGGGGTGTATTCGTTGATATTACACCTGCTCTGAGGTCTATATTACGATTCAAACATGAAAACACACCAAAATTTTTCGAATATTAATTAAATGGTCCGCCATTACTACGGCCCAACGTTATGACATCACACATTACTCATATTACCAGCGGTAGTGTTGCCGAATATACCCTGGGTGAAATTTTGACTTTGTTCACAGTTTATAGAAGGCGTGAATACAGTCATATTCAAATTTTTCATATACTGTTGCAAGATGCCCATTTGATTGCTTATTTTTTAAATTCAAAGTATTCAATAGAATTTTGAATCGGACAATAGTTAAACTGGAGAAACTTCAGATTGGGTACACACCATGTTTAATTCTTTGCATCTTAAGATTTGTTCAAAAGATTTGCCATCATTACGTAAATTACTTTATAAAACTGACATATCCATGTCGTAGTTAGACTGGAAACGTATATGATGGATAGAATATATGATTTTTAATTTGTTGTACTGAACGAATGCTGTTCTGAACTAAATAAGCAGCCGAGAATTGCAGAAGAATTTTTCTTTTTGCTATGTTCAATCGTTTCCTTCTTATTAATTAGCAGCTATTCAACGATGGAAACCTACTAGAAATACAAAATGTAATACTTGGAACATGTAAGTATATCTTTAATAATGTTTATTCAGATATCAGCGCTAATTGTACATTGAAAAAGCAGTTTTTTTCTCTGGAGTAAATTCACCAATTTTTCTATTGGACATCATCGAAATGACATTGACTAATACGCTTAACTCTCGAGAATAAAGTCTTGAAGGAGCTATGAGTCGAATAGTTCAACGTCGTTAAACCCAATAACGGGGTTCTTTACAAATTAGGAATTTTCTTGCCCGTTATTGGGTTTAACCTCCTTACTATTCTTTCCTTTATTGTAAGTTCTGGATCCATCAAAACCATTTTTCTACGATAACATGCAACTGATACTTGACAATAATATAAAAACACATAACATCAAGGAATTTAATACAATATTAAATGTAACACAGTGTTAAATGTTCATTTATACAAGTAAAATCAGGCTACACTTACAAATCTCTAAAATGACATTTCCGCATGTCCGTCATTTTTTGTCTGTTCGTCCGAGTGTCTTGGATTAAAATTTAACTATTAGCAAAACGAAATTGTTGTCAAATAGGGGAAATGGTCCTATCACCGCACGGGTACTCTGGAAAACTACTGAGGATTTCAAATATGATAACTTCAACTTACTTTGAGAATATGAGATGAAAGATCAACATTTCTTCTAAAATTTAAGTACTGTTTGACATTTCTCAATCTCCGAACGCTAACACTTTAAGACCCCTTAGACTCGCATGTGCAGTGGTCCTAATTATCACACAGTCGTCCTAATTATCGCACAGTTGTGTTTCAGATGTCATTTCACGATACTGTATACATTTCTCTGTTTATAACAGATACATACATATGCCATAATCATTTTTCTATCAGTTTTAGTGTAAAATATCAACAAAATATCCATTATACAGTTGGGGACAAAAATAAATGACAGGTCGATTTTCGATCACCATTTCCTAATTATGGTCGTCTGAAAGTCCATAATTTCCAATATTGTCTAGATACATATCCCTTAAAATTTGTATATTTCACATTTTGTATAATCTCATCCACTGATGTATGGCCTCTTGAAAATTCTCTTATTTTTAACATGGGAAATTCTCACTTCAGCAACTCCACCTGTCATTTATTTATGTCCCGAACTGTACACTTACTTTTCTGTCTTTATTTGGAGGGGGGTCAAACTTTGTCAGACGAATTTCACTTTTTGCGCAATAGCATACATGACAATAGCGGAAGTAAACAATTCTTAAAAAATGAAGAGATATTTCTAAATATATGAATAAATCATGAAGATTGGTAGTAATGGTGTTGAACTGTTTTTTGTAACACTGTTTTGACATTTCCGTATGTCCGTCATTTTGTGTCTGTTCTCCCGAGTGTCCCGGATCGTAAAATTAAACTACTAGCGAAACGAAATTGTTGTCAAATAGATCTAATTATTATCGCGATTACTCAGGATAGAAAGATCAATTTTGAGGAACAGGTACCTGATTTATATAGCACGTGGATACACGCAAAATAGTTATTAATTGCAAACCCACTGTTTGTTAATGCAGTGCCGCAATGATGATTAATTTCTGATACGATTTGGAATTTCGATTTCGATTTTTTCAAATCGATCAACGATGAACATAGAACGTCTCGAACAGTGAAAAAACACGTCCTGAAATTTTTCAAATAGAATTGCTATAACAACAAATTCAAGACTTATAAAGCTACCGATTGATAAATCAAATGTTATGTGTTAAGATTAAAGCGCTTTTCGCATATGGACTAGTGATTTTACCGTATAATATTAATGCTATGGTGAAAAATGTGAGGATTTACCTTGGTGAGTTTTGGCAGCCATTTTGTTTCCCTCACTTCGGCTGTTTCCGTAACTTTTCAATTTATATATTTTATGAGTATTTAGACGATTCCTGTCAACAACGACAATAAATTGATATCGATAAAGGATTATGCTACATCTTATGTTGGATGATAAATCATTCATTTCCAAATGAAGATCCGATTTTACTTCGGATTTTGTCGTTGCACAATGAATGACCTCAATTCTCAGGTCAAGGCTAGATATAATTTGGAATGGCACATATACGAAATTTAAGAGATTTTCGACGTATATTTCTACCTCAGATGAAACTGGAAGGGGAAACATTTCAGAGGATCAGGTACATGACTATTTACTTTGGCTATATATTAGATTTTGGTTTTAGATTTGTATTGATTTCACGAGTTCTTTTTCAAAATGAGTTACGAAAATGCAAAAATGTCAAGTCAAAATGAAAAACATTCCACCAAATCCATGGTCATGCTAGGCTAGATAAAAACTAATGATCCAGACAGAAGAAATCACAGGAGTTCGTCTACTCCTTGTTAAATGTTAAAAAAGGCAAGAACTCAACTTCGACATATGAGTGTTAGGGGAAATGGCCCTAATTATCGCACGGCCCTAATTATAGGGACCACAGAGGTTTTTTAAAAAATGCATCAAAAAATCTGAAAAAATCCATATTTATGTAAAATTGGCTGAGAAAATCAATGAAACCATTCCCAAAGTTGTAGCTTGAACCATTAAAAAGTTATAGGGGTCTAAAGATGGAAAATCGAAAAAAAAGTTTTGTCAAAAAGTGTGTGCCACATGACATGGGATGTCATATTCTGAGTCACTGATGGGTGTCATATTTTTTAATTTTCTCAAAGTATACAAAAAAGGCATTATTAATCTGAAAACCAAATGTAGATAGCATTATTGGTTCAATTTTTATAACAAAAACAAGAAAAGTGTGTTTTTATCATAAAAAAAAGTATTTGTTTGAAGTTTTCATTTCAAGTGTATCAGGGTGGGGAAGACAAATATCTATTAAACTATGCAGCAAAAAATCTGAAAAATCTACATATATGTGTACAATTGGCTAAGAAAGGCAATGAAATCATTTTCAAATTGAAATGTTGAATGATTAAAAAGTTATAGGGGTCTAAAGATGAAAGAAAGCTAAAAAAATGTCAAAAAGTATATGTTATAATAGTCATATGACACAGTATGTCATATATGATGTCACTGATATTTGTCCAATCTTTTTTTACATTGAAGAAGACTTAAAAGCTATAAATATTCTGAAAACCACAAGCAGATGATGATTGGTTCAGTTTTTATGACTAAATCAAAAAAATAAGGTATATTTTGGCTAAACATAATAAATATTTTAAAATTCTGTTTAGTCAAGTATATTGATCAATTCATTCAAAATTATATTTTACAGCTACTAGGACATGTAGGATGGTGTGAGGAATATTTTTATCTTGATGCAAAACTCAGGCTTTGCCTCTTTATTTACATATAAGTTAAGCAGCATGAATAAATAAATCATGAAACATAAAGGCTATTTATTTCGACATTTATGATTTAGGTATTGAGGTATCACTTATCTTGTGCCTCTCTAATATTAACAAGATACCTTTAGATCTTTTTGATGGGCAGCAAGAGCAATGAGACTACTACTAAGTATTATTTGGCTCTCAAAATTTGACTCCCAAATAATACCTTCAATTATAGAGATCAACTTGTGCCTCTTTATTAATAATCAATAATCTTAATTATCATCACGTGCTGTTCAAGACAAGTAGGAATGCTTGTAGAAACGAGTAAGTGCATCTTAAGCTTGAGCATGATCAATAAGAAGTCTAATTTAGATGTGCCTCTTTATGTTTATTCTGTATTTTCAAAAAGTTTAAGTCTAGTAAATGGCTCAAAATATTGCTGATACAAAAATTAAATTCTCAAATATTATTAACCTTTTGATTAAATGTTGCCTTTTTGATGAGTAGCAAGAGCAATGTGATTATTTCTGCCTCTTTTAATATCTTGAATAAATACAAATGTAAAGGCTAATTTGTGCCTTTAAATAGTCAGATGGTTATCAATCTCAATTATAATTGTGTGTCACTCCAATCAATTAGAAATAGATGTGCAGCTGGTCAAGCAGAAGCAGAATTATAATATGTGCCTCTAAGAAAATCAGATTATGCCTCTTTAATTCCCAAAAGTTCTAATTTTGGATTAATCCACAACATCATGCAAAATAATATGAATTTGAATCATATTTAGTTTCTTATATTATCATTTAAATGATATATGATAAGACTAACAAACGTTATTAACGTTTTATGACATCACACTAATTTTTGTCTCTGCAACTTTTTTTGGCAAAAAATATAATTTTTAGTTCAAAAATGCATAAAAACGTCGGAACTGGCTGAATATGTGAAAAAAATTTCCATTTAGGCTAGAAAGGGTTAATTTGCCCTACCCCAAATACGTCTAAATATGCTAGTCTAACTTTGCCACTGTGACGTCACAAATCTAACCTGACTATCTCTGAGTTTATTGAAGAAAATGATACGTCTGACAAACAGCTTTCATTCCCTATATGGCACACCTTCTACTAAGAGTTGCATCATTGACTAAATCTACGACAAAGACCCTATGCCCCGAGGATTTTGACTGAAATTTGGCCATTTTCGCCCAAATCTAAGTAAATAGCAGTTTCCCCCACAGCTGTATTTTGAAATAAATATTGCTACAATGTAGCAATTTAAAAATCACATATGCTTACTGTTTCTGTTGACCTGACACGTGTATCTAGCCTGTGAAAATGAAAAATCGCTACATTGTAGCAATTTCAGTGAGATGTGGGCCCTCAAAATCATGTAATTTTAGCAAAAAATGAAGAAATATCCTGCCATTTTGACGGAATTTCAATGGGCTTTCTTTCATGTATGACCCTCCAAGGGCCTCTTATGACCATTCTTATACGCACAAAAGGGTTGAAAGTGATTTTAAATCATTGTTTGCTCTACGCAGAACGAAAAAAATCGATTCTGTTCTCAAATTCTGCTAGAATATTGGTCTCTGGCCAACTAGCAGACAATTTTAGGCCTCATATTAAGGTATGAGTACCGTAATCCAACACCAAATTCGAAAATTCAGAACAATACTTTGCACATATGGCGTTCCTGATCAACTATAAAACGCTTACCCCCCATAGTGTTATATATCAAAATGTACCTGTTCATATAGGGGTTCGATTGATCTACATCAAATTATAGGGAGTCAGGTTACTTTTTGAGATATCAGCGTCCATTTATTGTAACTCGCGTTTGCTACCATTTCCTCAATTCTTAGACGACGGGCAAACGCGTACTAAACATGCTCACGTCGGAACTATTTTTGACCTACATCGCTATTTTCGTAATTCAAATGAAAGATGAACTCCTCTTCTTTAGTTTGATACCAAATACTGGCATACTAGGTACCCTAGAAGCCAACCATGGCGTTATTTAGAACAAAACCACAAGTTTTTAAATGGACTATATAGGGGTCATACCTTTTGGCGGATGGATATGGAACCTCATACCTTAACAATTAAGTTCAAGGGTAGTTCAAATTGACTGAAGTGAATTTGACCCTATTATCGCCCACTTCCGGAAGTCACGTTTTGCAAAAATTTATAACTTTCTTCTGCTTTCCTGATCAAATAAATGTGATACAGACCTTAAGATGAATTTATAGAGGTAGGTAGCATATATCTTAAACCAAATATGCTGACAGGCTTGCATAAATCTTGGCCAGAAGACTGACTGAGTGACTGATCTTGAACATGACAAAATGGCGGAAGTAGATCCAAAACAATATGGCGGAAGTAGCCTGCGTTTTTTTAAATCAACGGTGCACACCGGGATCACTTGATTTTTTAATTTATTTTTATAAATTTCAAAAGAAAAGTGACTTTTCTTGCGATTGAGCTTTTGACATGGAGTTGACGGGGAGTAAAACAATGTGCAATAGTTCAGTCAAAAATATGCTCCACTTCAAACTCAATTTTCGAAAAATTATAAGCGTTTATTTGGGCAAAATTGAACAAAAGTGAAATATTTCACATGTTATTACTTCATTTCGATGTATTGAGAGTAATTATCTGTCCCCTTATTATTCAAAAAACGGTCATCAAAACTTGGGTGAATTGCCAATGTCAACAAAAATTTTCGAAAATGGCGGCGAAAATGGTTTCACCTCTCTCATATTTTGCTTCATAACAATCAGCACAAGACAGGTTACGCTACATATTAAATACCCAATGGTAAGACTTTCATTAATTATTAATTTGAGACCGATTTCATGGAATTGGGTGCAATAGTTTATTGTAAAATAAATTGTAAAGTTTCATAATTTAACATGTGAACAGATACGAGCTGAAAATAAGCCTCAACCTCTTGGTCACTACTAATTATCGCACCATTGTCCTTATAGCTATAAAATATGCAACCAGCTTACTCACGTTGAGAGCTACCATGTTAGATTTTGAAAGTATAGCTCTCCATCTCCAAACTGTAGCCCACATATGGGCTCATATGTGTCTACTTTCCCCGTGCATGTAGGATCGCTGATGTGCTTCCATGGCGATCAGGAGTTCTAATCGTTTTTTGAATTCATTGTTTGATACCCATTTCCAATATGGCGGTTAAACTGAAATATTATCGACGCATGCGCAACTTGGGAAACGTCAAGCCGCCATATTGAATATACCTGGCCAAAACTTTTGACACGACCAATAAAATCAAGTCCTGATCGATACATAGGGCAGTGAGACGTTCTATAGTTGAGCTGAATGAAAGATGGCGATGTAGGATACATTTTCAGGTATATAATATGCAACATGAGTCAGCTGAATTCCCCGGAATTTTCTTTGAAGTCAGGATTCTTAAGCTGTTGATTCTAGCGATATAGAGCTATACTTTCAAAATCTAACATGGTAGCTCTCGTTGGGAGTAACAACCAGCATCTTTTAAACCAGTGTTACGAAAAACAGTTCAACACCATTACTCCCAATCTTCATGATTTATTCATATATTTAGAAATATCTCTTCATTTAAAGACAGAAAAGTAAGTGTAAAATGTATATTTTGTTGATATTTTACACTAAAACTGATAGAAAAATGATTATAGCATATGTATGTATTAGTCCAACAACATTAGACCAAGCCTGGGCCTCATTTCTTATCTGACATGTCTTATGGCCCCGGCTAGGTCTAACCTCCATGATCATTTTGCCCTTGATGTGTTAATATAATCGTTCAGCAGGTTTCGACAAGCGGAACTAATTAAACCCTGAAACCATGGTCATATTACACAAAGAATGTGATTCAAGCATGCATACATACCTTATGAATACATACACACCATCCCGTATCCCCCTTAGACCCTATTGATGCATAATTACGAAAATATTGGAGACAGGTTTGGAATATAACGAAAATGTCGGCCAGTTTCGGTAACATCAAAATTGCAAATCATATCAGAAATTAACCGTCATCGCGGCACTGCATTTACAAACAGTAGGTTTGCAATTAATAACTATTTTCTATTCTAATAGTAAAGAACGCTGTTATTGAGTTTAATGACGTTGAACTAATGTATGTATCTGTTATAAACAGAGAAATGTATACATACAGTATCGTGAAATAACATCTGAAACACAACTGTGCGATAATTTGGACGACTGTGCGTTAATTAGGACCCCTGCACATGCGAGTCTAAGGGGTCTTAAAGTGTTAGCGTTCGGAGATTGAGAAATGTGAAACACTAGTTAAATTTCAGAAGAAAGGTTGATATTTCGTCTCATATTCTCAAAGTAAGTTGAAGTTGTCATATTTGAAATCGTCAGTAGTTTTTCCAGAGTACCTGTGTGGTGATGGGACCATTTCCCCTACCTGATGAATGGGACCCTCACATGCCTTCCAAATGGTAGTAAACAAACTCCAATGTAACTACATCAGTTTATCTTTTGATCCGATCAACAATAAGTACAGTTATACAAGAAATGTAAATGAACTGTAAAAATTCCCAAAAATGTTACAACTGGCTTGTCATTTCCGGAAGTTATGATACGTTATATTACCGAACATGTGTCAAAATTGAATGTTTGATCGTTCATTTTACAAGGGCTAAATAAAATGCGAACATCTGAACATCACTTCCGGAAATGACAAGCCAGTAGTAACATTTTTTGGGGATTTTTACAGTTCATTTACATTTCTTGTATAACTGTACTTATTGTTGATCGGATGGAAAGATAAGCTGATGTAGTTACACTGGAGTTCGTTTACTACCATTTGGAAGGCACATGAGGGTCCCATTTATCAGGTCTCATATGTCGATGTTTTGCCTTTTTTAACATGTAATAAGGAGTAGAAGGAAAAAGAAGTCAATAGAGCAAGCCTTGACTCAATAAGCTTCCATCAGGAAATTGCCTTCTTTGCCACCTATCTAAGTTTCAACACAAGCCAAGCAATTGATGGCCACTGAGTGTGGCCACTCTTTGTTGTTTTTAATTTGCCTTGCCTGGTTATATTTATTATATTTACTGAAGTGGCTAGAGAACCTTAAATTTTTCAGGCTCTTTAGCCAAAATGCTAAAGAGCCTTAATATTTAAGGCTATTTAGCAGCGAACATGGTATTTTAGCTAAAGAGCCTTGGTGTTTATAATCCGTGTTTATATTGTTTTTCATTGATGTTCACGTAATCTACACAATAAAACAACAGTCCCTAAAGTTATGTTTCTTACCTCCATAAATTGAAACATCCATCTGATATATTCTCCCGAAGTCAAAAAAAAGTTTTATCCATTTCAAACTGAAGAGGTTTTCCCCCCACATATGCTTGTTTCTGTGTCTAGAACCTCTAGCACTTGCCATGTCATCAGTTAGTCATGTGTCATTGAAATTCCAGGAAAGCTGCTTATCTGTCCAACTAGTGCCAAGATCTAATTTTATTTTATTTAGGGCATGCTGGGTGAATCACATGGCAGAGACATTTTTTGATATACATGTACACTCATATATCTACAATTTCCTTTCAAAGTTTATTATTTATTGGTTATTTATCACTATGTCTTGTTTTAATTAGTTAAACGAAGATGTTCTATGTTTCCATTTCAGGTGTATATGCAACTGTCCAGTCACAATCACAAGCAATAGACAATTCAAGAATGCTATATTGACAAGATATCATAATCACTGTCATATACAACATAGGGCATTCTTTCACCCTCCAAAGCTGCCAAATATTAACCCTTTCACTGCAAGTAAAAAGAAGGAATATTCAGAGCGGAGAATCGTAGGGTAAGTATGATATTAAGTAAATATTAGATTAATTTAAAAAAATCTAGGAGGAATAGAATGAGAAAAAGGTACATTTCAAAGCATTTACAAACACACAAGATTGTTTGAATGAGTCTTTATTAACTGAAGCTATACTTTTCAGTCTGGACCTTATGAAATAAGGGTTGGGTTTTCAAGCTAAAGGACGTTTTTTTCTGAGATGCATTTGCGTATACACACCTGAAACTGTTATCTCAAGGATAGAATGCACAAAAGAAACAAGTGTTTTGTTATTATAGGCGGAGGCAAAATAAATCTCTGAAATCTTGATGTGATTTTACCTTTTAGTTCTGCATTTTGTCTGCCATTTTTATCAGATCTGTTTTTGTTCCATCTAAACACCAACTCCATCGAACGGAAAAAAGGAAAAGAAAAAAGCATGGCACATTTGCTCATGCATGACTGTAAGTTTAAACAAATCTGATTATTTGATATTTCACACTCAGGAATTATTCACTCCTTACTACTTACCCTAAAAATAAATAAACCTGCCTGAGATTGCCCCTACCTCGTTTTATCAGAAAGTGAACTCAAACTTGTGAGAAATGCATCATATATACGCTGGTTTGAAACATTGGAGACATTCATTTTGGTAAATATAATTTGCACTTCTCTGCAGTTTGGGAGAGTTTGGGACATTATATGTCAAAATTCAAGAAAATATGTCAAATACACAACTTCTCGATTATTTTTGGTCATCACTGTATGATGACATTTTCTCAAACTGCAGTTGTTTTGAGTTGATTGCAGAACCATCTATATTTTGAGTTGGAGTTTAATAGTCAAAGAATACTAGAGTATTGAACATATTATTGAATAGTCGTGTACATAGTCTGGTGTTTATATATTATGCTGTATTTTCAACATGGCCCTGTTTTCAAAATTGCCGCCATTTTAGTTCAGTGTCAATTTTACAGTCTTTTAGGTACGTCATATAAAACTGCAATATTAGCAGATAAGTAGGCTATGTATTAAAAGCAAAAATTGTAAAGGATATGAATTAAGTTTAAAAACTTATTATTTAAAAACATGGTGGCCATCTTGATGGTGGCTGTAGCACGCTTTTTTGAGATTTTTCATTTTTGCTGTAAATGGAAAAATAGTGCCATGGAGTGATTTTGTTCATAATTGATATGTGAATTCTCATAACCATGTTACACATACACATCTTATGACAACTTGGCTAGTAGTCTTGACGAGCCATTTTACATGAGTTATTTTATCTTTTCTACTATAACTCGAAAAGTAGTGGAGTGATTTTGTTCATATTTGATATGTGAATTCTCATTCTCACTGTCTTGTGGTATTTTGGCTAATAGGTGACTATTTTGAAGAATGGTCACCATTTTGACATGTTTGATGTTTGTTATTTTACGTTTTTGTGCTATAACTAGAAAAGTAAAGGACTAAATTGTAGACATTTTATATATGAATATTCAATAAAAGTTAGAACCATGTTACACATTCTTATGACAATTTGGCTAGTGGGCGCTCATTTTAAAAATGGCAGCAATGGTTGTTTGATGGGATTTGCTATGTTTTGACGTTGCTGTTATCTAGTTAAGTCACATGTAGGACATACACCAATCAGAGTGTGAGGAATATGACAGTGATATAATAATAGAAAATATTTATTTTAAATGACCAATTTCTCATTGCCTTACATTGGTATTAAGACCCCTACCCACTCTGCAAACAGCTCAATGTATAAGCTCCCAGGATTTGCATTGGAAGATTTAGCAACTGTTTCTTTATTTGCACTAAGACATAATGTATATTGGAGTATTGTCAAGCATTAAATAAGGGGATTTATGTGACAATAGACTATTTCGCCACTCCTGTACTGCTATAGAATACTAAGAACACTGCTTTCTAAAACAGGCTTGCAACAGGACAACTTTAAATCTGGCTATGTTAAACTACAAAAATGAGTGGACCCATGGCATGGGTTTATAAAGCAGTAAATTATTATCATGAGACAATAAGAGCTTGGATATAGATAAAACATTATTTTATTCCTCTGGTAAGAGTCAGTTAATATATAGACTGCACTCTGATTAGATGCCAAAAAAGAACAATTGTGATGAGGCTTAGAACTTGTAGACTCACTGGACTTGTGTCCTTAAAGGGTTTGATGCTTATCTCCTGTATTGCTTCCGTAGCTCTCTTCTTAAAGATACAACACCCACAGGAGTTGGCGGTAAAGAAAATCTTATCCCAAAGCTTGATAAAAGCGCAGTCTTCAACTCTTACGTCAAATGAAAGTGAGGACATAACTTATATCAATATAACGGATAATGGTGAGGACATAACTTTTAGCAACATAGTGGATAATGCACAGATGGACAACATATATAAAAATGAAACCTTAATTAAACTTAATACAATGGTGGAAAATGCCATGAAGTTTCAAGCAGATAATGATACAGAAATAGAAAGATGCATGCAACAAAGAAGGCAGAAAATAAGAGAAACTTGTCACAGAAAAAAATCGAAAAAAATCCGACTGTCAAAAAATATTCTTGTTGATGACAACTTGAAAGTAATTTATTGTTACATTCCCAAAGTTAGTTCTACATATATAATAAAAAGTCTTATACATTTGTCCAAAGGGAATATTAGTCTACCAGTGGATATACATTATGATGGAAAATATGTTACCAGATTGCTGAAATACAAAAAAGCAGACATCTTGTATCGTTTGAAGACTTATACTAAATTCACATTTGTCAGAGAACCTTTCTCTCGACTACTCTCAGCATACAATGATAAAATAGTTCGAAGTGGTGATGATCATTTTTCAAAACATCGAAAAAAACTATTGGAAAAATATCACAAGAATTCTGGGACAAAAATTATGTCTATTGCTCCTTTTGTCGACTTTGTGGATTATGCAGTTCTGCAGAGAAAACTCCCCAATGAACACTGGCTGCCATTTTTTCAACTTTGTAGTCCATGTAATGTACAGTATGATTACATTGGCAAATATGAAAACTTAGCCAAAGAAGGGAATTTCATTTTCAAGAAACTTGGGGCAAAACATTCAGTCATTGAGGAAAAACCATATAACAAATCAAAAAATCTTTCTATGGAGAAAGCTTATTCAACTTTATCAATTAATCAATTGGAAAATTTATCTGAATTTTATAAAATGGACTTTGACTTATTTGAATATCCATTTCCACAAGCATTGAGGGCTCATTATCCCACCGAACGAAGTTCGAGAGGGATATAGGAAAGCCGTCCGTCCGTCCGTTCGTCCGTCTGTTTGTCCGGGCGATAACTCAAATACCGTTTCATGGATTTGATTCAAATTTTATAGGCTTATGCCTTATGGGTGTAGGACCTCTGCTCGAGAAGGAATTTTCAATATGGCCACTGAATTCAAAATGGACGCCATTTTTCGTAAAAAATGTAATCTTTAATAACTCAAATACTAGTTTGCGGATTTGGTTCAAATTTTATATGCTGATGCCTAGGGACAAAGGAGTTTCGCACAAAAAGAGATTTCCAAGATGGCCGCTTAATTTCAAAATGGCGGCCATTTTTCTTAAAAATATGTAATGTATGATAACTCAAATACCAGTGAACGGATTTGGTTCAAATTTTATATGATGATGCTTAGGGACACAGTAGCTCTGTTCGACAAAACATTTTCAAGATGGCCGCTTAATTTCAAAATGGCGGCAATTTTTCGTAAAAAACGTTATCTTTGATAACTCAAATACCAGTGAACAGATTTGGTTGAAATTTTATATGATTATGCCTAGGGACACAGTAGCTCTGTTCAAAAAATAATTTTCAAGATGGCGGCTGAATTTCAAGATGGCGGCCCAAATTCCTTAAAAAACGTGATCTTTGATAACTCATATATGCTGATGCCTAGGGACAAAGGAGTTTCGCACAAAAAAAGATTTTCAAGATGGCCGCTTAATTTCAAAGTGGCGGCCATTTTTTGTAAAAATATGTAATCTTTGATAACTCAAATACCAGTGAACGGATTTGGTTCAAATTTTATATGATTATTATTAGGGACACAGTAGCTATGTCCGACAAAACATTTTCAAGATGGCCGCATAATTTCAAAATGGCGGCAATTTTTCGTAAAAAACGTAATCTTTGATAACTCAAATACCAGTGAACAGATTTGATTGAAATTTTATATGATTATGCCTAGGGACACAGTAGCTCTGTTCAAGAAATAATTTGTAAGATGGTGGCTGAATTTCAAGATGGCGGCCCATATTCGTAAAAAAACGTAATCTTTGATAACTCATATACCAGTGAACAGATTTGGTTCAAATTTTATATGATGATGCCTAGTTCACAATGGTATAAACTAACTTTGTGCCAAATTTCATGCTTCTATCTCAAAGTGCACAACCATTTCAACATTTACACTAGCTATAATAAGCATAATATGTTTTGTTCGGTGGGATTTGCTACTCCGTGGAGTTGCTGTTTTTCTAGTTAAAATACTTTTCGATGTTAGGTCTGTAATAGAAGTTTTGCTATAAAGCCTTGAAATCTCATTGAAGTCTCATTTTTGTTGTGATGTTTGAATATTAAACCATCAAGAGCTAATATTTTTATTTTATTTGATGACATATTTGATTCCTGTTTGAATTTTCTACTAAGTGATCATTGATATTAACAAAGACTTTTATCAACTCAATAAACATGTAATATGTATATTTTGAATATAGAGGAAGAGTATTATATTAGTCCACCCGCTATGGCTCAGTGGCAGAGAGAGTCAAGATTACCAATATCGCTTGGCCCCGGGTTCGATTCCCGGTTCAGACAAGTTGTTTGTGCGTTATGTAATTCTGGGTGTTTGACTGAGTGGTTCACGACTCGTAGACAAGGCTGTGGTGTGTACCTGTATGTCTGTGTACCTGTGCACATAAAAGAAAACAAGGCTCCTTCAAGGAGGGGTTTCTGGCTCTATCTTCGAGTGTAAAAATACGTAAATTACGGAATATACCAATGAGGTATTGCTCGTCAAAATATGGCGGTAACCAAGATATAATAATAATAATATAATAATAATAATAATAATAAGCTTCACCAGTGCTATAATTGCCATCTATCCTTAACAGTCCTCTATTGTACCTGATATGCTCCTGATTAAATAAATAAATGGGAGGCTGACCAATGTGGTAGGGGGGGGGGTAATTTATTGTATTCAGTCTGAGTATCTCGGATTAAGCTGGGGGTACCAAGCCAAAAATGTCTGTTGACCTTGGCTTGGGTTTCATACACATTGTTTATAATATTATATGTACTAACTTGCAAAATGTTATTCATATGAAATAAATAACCTTGAAAAAAATTAAGCTGGAGGTTTTTGTTATTAAGAATTGTAATAAAAATTTAATGTTTATTATTGACAAATACAGAAATTGCATAAATGAAGAATGGTTGAATTGTGAATAAATAATGCAAAATCTGATAACCTTTTTGTAGAGTTCATACTGTCATGTTTTTGTGAAATGGTATTTGATATACTATAATCTACTTGTAAAGAAATAATCCATCAGCAACAAATAAATTCAAAACCTTTTAGCATGAACAAATAGCCATGTTCTATAATTGAATGAAAAGAAAGGAATATTATGCTTGGGTTCCTATGAGCAGAATCTTTGTCTGTAATCGGTATGGCATGAATTTAATAAATACTAAATATTGTCCAATAGATGAACAAATACAATGAAATAGGCCAAGGTCTACATATACATTTAATATTTTATGATGCACTGTTCTGATATATAAAATGTAAAGCATTAGTCTTGCAGTGATAAAGTTTAATTGTTCTGTAATATTTACTTCCATGAGCATAGCCAGACATGCAATTTTACAAAAGTAAATTTTTTAATATTTAACTGTGTATATATTTAAATTAAGTTTGTGACAGTTACCTTACATTGGTGAGCTATTGTTAATGCTCACTTCTCTATGTACACATAGAAACACTCATGGGCATGTGCCTATATGGGCCTTTATGCATGTACGGGTCGAGCAGGCTCCACAAAAATTTTGTCATCAAAAGGATTGGTATCAATATGGCGAACTGAGTTAAACCTTGTTTTTCTCTTAAATCAATTATTGAAAACATTCTTTAAAAATCATGGTCCTTTATACAATGGTCACTGATAGAGAAAAATTTAATGCGAAAATTATTTTTATATATTTTATATAACTGTTTTTGTTAACATTTTTTTTTAGTGCAATTGTTTTTTGTTCCTTTCTCTCAATTTTTGAGAATGAAATAAAATATCTTTCCGAACCTTGTTGGAACAAAATAGCATATACAACATTTTCTCAGACCTTTTAATGTTATCGTTATAACAAAGGAAAGTTTGGTTCGTTTAACAAAAGGTGTTCAAAAAATTCAAATAAAAACCCACAAAATAGATAAAAAGTAAACCTTTTATTTTTTGAATTAGATACTTTTTTTAAATGAAGCAAATTTCCTTTGTACAATTACAATATTGAGAGACCTAAACATGTTGTGTTTATGTCATTTTGTTCCAATGAGATTCGGAAAGAAAAGTACATATTTTTTTTCAAATTAAATTGTTAACATTCATGGAATAATCATTTAATCGACGATGTGTAAAATTTTCATTTAATCAGCCATAGTGCATACATGGTATATACAGTATATTAATCAGGTTAAAGAGTGTCATTTTATATTTTTCAGTTTTTCCATGAAAGAAATGTTTGATGTAGTGAGCAGTGTAGATAAATACAAAGACTTCTTACCATACTGCGTAGAATCCACCATGTTTGCTAAGAGGAAGAATACAGCTAAGTGTTCTATGAAGATTGGCTTCCCTCCATTGGTAGAGAAATATACCTCTGTTGTCACCCTTGTGGAACCACACTTAGTTAAGGTAAGAACAACAATGTGGAATAGATATGGTTAATGACATTTTATTGAATAATGGCCAACTTTTTTTGAGATGCAATATCATTTTTTCAACATTTTGGTTTAAATCACACCATGACATATTTAAAGCATATACATTTGTATGTTAGACTTAATTGTGTTTGTATTTCAGTCTGAGTGCACTGATGGTATGCTATTTAACCACCTGATCACATACTGGAGGTTCAGTCCAGGTTTGCCTGGCAGAGAGGACACATGTACAATAGATTTTTCTGTAAGTACATATGTACCTTAGACTTTTGTAATTGCACATGTACCAAGTAAGTCTGCTAAATTCAAAAAATCTGTTAATCCCATTAATTATCCCAACGAACGAAGTTCGTTAGGGATATAGTGAAGCCCTCCGTCCGTCTGTCTGTCCGTCAGTCAGTCAGTCTGTCAGTCAGTCAGTCAGTCAGTCAGTCAGTCAGTCAGTCAGTCAGTCAGTCAGTCCGTCCGTCCGTCCGTCTGTCCGGAAGATAACTCAAATACTAGCTAACAGATTTTCTTCATATTTAGTGGAAAGATGTATATTGATGAATAGTTTTACGCTAAAAAATCTTTTTTCAAGATGGCCGCCGCTTTAAAAATGACGGGACTTTTTCGCAAAAATCATAAATTTTTCATTCTAAACCAAAGTGATTAATATTATTGTTTGAAATTTTGGTAGTGTATTCACAACATTTATCTTTTTCACATATATTCCGTGTTTTTCATCCTGACCCCCAGGGGCCATGTATGGGGGGACAGGAAAACAGAAATTTTCGCTAAATTTTAGATCTTTCTGAAGTATAGCTTTATTATACTCAAATGAAAGGTAATTAGGAGTAGATTGCAGATATTGTATCTTTTTTCTGATTCGAGCCTCGTAAAATTCAAAATGGCCGTCTAATGTACGATTTCGCAATAATTTTTCGATCCCTTCAAAGTATGGCTATATTATACTCAAATTGAAGGAATTTTGGAGTAGATCACAATTATGGTATTTTTTCAGATTTGTACCTCAGAAAATTCAAAATGGCTGCTTTGCAGGAATTCGCAATTCTAAAATCTAATTTTTTCATTTTCAACCAAAGTAATGAGTATAATTGATTGGAATTCGGTAATTGATATTTTGTTCGTTGGGATTTGCTACTCCGCGGAGTTGCCGTTATCTAGTTTGTTCTTTTTTACAGCTTTTAATTCTTTTTAAAAATCAGTTTTTATCACCCAATTTTCAGGTTTTGCAACTCCTTATTCTCCAGACCTGTTTTCTAAAGAATATGCTTCGATGGGGGATCCAGTAATTAATAGGGGTGGGGGGACTCAAAAATTTTCCTATGTTTTCTGCCATTTCTCAGATTTTCTTATTTTAAGGACAACTGGTGAGCAGAGACACACACACTTGTTAATCGTGTTTGAATCCATTCATCCAAACCAAATAGAAGAGTATGTTTTAAGTATAAGAACCGTAAATTATGTTTGATGAAGTTTCATGCTATAGATAAAGAGAAAGCTATCTATTTTTATCCTATCCTGTTGTGACACTAAAAATATATTGACGGTGAAAAATGTCACTTAAATTCTGCTATTTTCCAGGTGTCATTTGAGTTTCGATCAGCGCTGCACTCACAATTTTCGCATTTCTTTTTTGATGAGGTGGTGAAAGTGATGGTGAAAGCTTTCCTTAAGCGAGCAAGACATTTATATGGACAGGAATCAATGAAGAGTCAGAAGCGTGCCATAGTTGACTCTTGACAAGACTGCAATTAGGAGAATTATATAATATGCTTTTCAACACTGTATACTTTCTACATGCATATAATAGTGATTATTAACAAATTGCTGTTGAGCTGTCTAGTTATGAATAGGTTAACTCCTATAATTCCAATAGTAGCAAATAGATTATACTATGAAAAAATATTGTTTTGATTTGGACTCACTGTCTAATATATTTCAATCACACACTGTGTTATTGTTTTGATCATAAGATCCCATGAATGTATATTTTAGTCTTTTGAAACTGGTAAAATGAATACACAGTGTACAATGTATAGATGAATAAGAAATTTTATTAAAAGTCTGGGTAACCAGGAAGCTATCATATCCTCTGTTTTAAGGATATGCCTTATATCAAAAAAAAAACTCAGATGATTTGTAGAAATGGATAACAAATATATGCAAACCCTCTGGAAGGGTAAGATCAATTAATCAATTGTGTCCTATGATTTTCCTCACTGAATTAGAGAGGATTTTCAAGAGGATGTGTAACTGGATTTTAATTTGCGTTGGCGATTTAATTTTGTTCTGTGAATTTGCAACAGCATTAACAGCATTGAAAATATAGCTTTCTTGGGTCAAGTTTGAAACATAATGTGGACTAAATAGTGTTTAAATAAAATTGATTCTGTATCATTTAAATTGTTGTGGAGAAATGTAATACTTGTTCAAGTTGATAATAAATATACTATAATATTGTAGTAATTTAATTATGAAATTGATGAGGGTCATCAGTTTCACTGAATGTAAAAATGATTATTGAAAAAATAGAATGCATATTCTAATTCCCAGACACTGCATGGGAGTTTGTATATTTTCTGCTGTGTTCTGATTGACTTGAATGTGATATATTATGCCTAGCTTTATGTGAATGTACGATAATGTTGCATAACTGCATACTTGCATTTCTTATATTTGTCAAATATCAAGTACTACATATCAAATATTGGAACATATTTCAAATCCTTTTTTCTTTGGTACTTACACTACATTTGTAAAATATAGAATATGCTTGTTCATATTCATTTTGTAAAATTGTTGAAGGTAGGTGGAATATGCAGCAGAATTCTGAGGCAAGATTAAATTTAGGTCTCTTCAAGTTCAGAATAGTTTCTGATTGTCTGCTCTAGCTGCCCACATGTACCGGATCTGTATTATTTTAGTTACATTCAGGGTGTCCTAAGAACTCATGAGAATGATTCAAGGGAGGTATAAGGCATTTGTAAATTTACTTGAAACTTGCCAGACTGCCACGTCATACAATGTTTACTGGGGAATAGGTGTCTTACTTTTTCAGCCAGGTTGGCATTTTTTCTGTTATATTGTTTTTGTCATATGATAATTATGTCGCAACAAACCTCAAAGCAGTGAACATTCAAGGTGTCACTACGGTAAATCATTGAAAAATATTGAAATAAATCACAAAATTCGGAGGAACTAGCCCATACAATGACTATATTTCTGCGTTCCCCTATACATAACCTTCATCTTGACACTATATTTAACGTAGGGTTTGCGTCTCGATTTTTAAATATCACTACGCCAACATAGGGACTCATTTTTAGTGTAAAATCCCTGCTTCACCGATGAAAATTAACGAATAAAGTAGTTCCGGTTTACGGGACTATTCTTGCGATTTTTTTCTTAAAATGGCACATTTAGAAAGTACTTGGCCTCAGCTTTACATACATACCTCAAATGGCCACATTGCATACACTTAAACCTACTATACACACCATTGAAGTTGGCATGGCTTCGTTTCTAAAGTACTAAAAAACACTGACCCGGAAGTGGTATAGGACCTGGAAGTGGTATTTACCGGAGTGACACCTCAACATTTCAATTAATGCAACATTACTTTCTGATAACATTTTCCAAAATTATTATCAACTGCTGAATTAGGTAGAGGTTTTAATTTTGAAATATATGTTGTTATTGTAACATTTTCTTCAATGTCATTCGACCTTACTGAAATTGCGGTCGTACTTACTAAAGTTTGTGTAAAAATTAACTGTAAACTGTTGTATTTCTCTGGCAACTTGGGATTTGTTGTGAGAAGTCTAATATGTGCCTGAAAGTAAGTTATTCTCCAATGGATGTTTAAAAAGTGCCTTCAATATCCCTCTAAACATTTTCATGAGTTCTGGAACACCCTGGGTGGAATGCTCCATGCACAATGTATTATCATATACATGAAACAAACAAAACAAATAAATATTTATTTATATTACAAAATTGTATTATATTCTCAGTTCTATGTACATGTAAACATTTCATGCTATCGTTACTGTATAACAATTTATTGTACACAAACTGAAACATACATGTTATCCATTTGTTTTTAGCAAAGCTTTCTGATTTCAATTTCTTAAACTCTTGCATCACATCACACTATTGACAAATCATATGTAATTGAAATACATAACACATAAAACAAACTATAGATGGAATACTGACTCTCATAAATCAATACAAACCAAGCTCCATATTCAAAAGGTTAGCATCCCGAGTTCTGACCTAATGACTGACTAAACTATTTATTTTGGCATTTCATCATCACAATTTAAGTGAATAATTTAATAAAACATTGTAATTTATGGTATAACATTCCACTGTTGAAGAATGCATACATTTGATCAGAGGATTTTAACCATGAAATTGTGTTACATCCACATCACGTCACATGATTATAAACATGATGATATCACATATAAATGATGATGTCACAGTGGAATGAATAATTTACACTGTCTTGATCCTAGCAACACACTTTATTCATTTTGTTCTTAATTCCTGATCTTAGCAACCATTTGTCTGCTGATTTCTGTATTTTCTCGTGCCATAATGAACCAGGTTTTAAGCAGACCACTGTTAAGTGTTCATCAAATGGTCCATATTACAATATTGAACAGTCAACTGATAAAATTATTTCGATGACACTTGACAATTCCTTTATGTAGAACAGAAGTCCACTAAATAGAGTTCAAGGTCACTAATATCTTCCAACATAGCAGCCATCCGTCCACTAAAAGTTCAAGGTCACATTACTGCTACAATCACAACAGACATCTGGTTACTTCATGATTCACTGAAATTCATGAATTACATCATGCCCCCCATTCCTCCCATTCCCCCCATGCCTCCCATTCCCCCCATTCCACCACCAGCTGGCATGGGAGGGTCCTCCTTGGGCAATTCAGTGACAACAGCCTCAGCTGTAGACAATAATGAGGCAACACCACAGGCATCTGTTAACGCAGTTCGGACAACCTGGAGAGAAAATATAATACAAATGAATAGTAATCGAACATTTGTGAAAAAATATATTCCTCCGGGGCCCTTTGAAATAATAGTATACAGAATCTCTGTTTTACAAACAATCCAATGATAAACTTATTAAGGTCCTAGGCCCATAAGCTATCAGCCTATGATATTTGAACTAAATCAATCAACCAATATTTGAGTTGTTGCCTAGACAGATGTTTATTTTGTCTTTCTTTTATGAGATCATTAAATTTTGTCTAAGATTTTATATAATTAAATTCAATAGATGAAAATCTATTCATAAAAGGTAAACCACTTGCTCAGAAGTCATGGATCTATCAAGTGTGATATCAAAACATTGAAATCACTCAGGTGAAGAAATTCTAGCATCATTGCAAGTGATCATATATCACAATAGTTGAGAAAACAATATGAGATGATAACTCACCTTTGCTGGATCAATAATTCCATTAGCTACCATATTAACAAATGTGTTGTTCATTGCATCGTAACCATTCTCTGCAGATTCAGTCATGACTCTTTGTACTACATCATTGGCATCAACTCCAGCATTTGAGGCAATTTGGAAGCAGGGGATCTTGACAGCCTTACGGATAATATCAACACCTGTAAATAGGAATACATATATTAACAAAAAGCCAGTAACAACAATCTCAAGTTCACCCCTTTTCTGAATTCATTGTTATTCTACGCTTTGCTGAGTTACAAGTTACACAATTAATAATCAGTGAAGTCTCATTGATATAAAATTAATTGAGACTAGATTGATTGACCTACCGACTTGTTGGTCAGAATTTGGAGTCTGAAGTCCCTCAAGGGCTTTGAGACATCTGATGAGGGCAACACCACCACCTGGTACAATGCCCTCCTCTACAGCAGCTCTAGTTGCATTGAGGGCATCATTGATTCTGTCTTTCTTTTCATTGCACTCAACTTCACTGGATCCTCCAACCTGAGGAAATAAAGTGAAAATGACACATTTATTTTGATTTCCTAAGATCGGCAGGGTGGAATCATTTTTTGACCGAGAGAAATATTTGAAGTAGAAATGAAATCTATTTATAGTAAAAAATCATATGACATGGCAATATCATGAGATGAAGTTATCAATATGTAAACCACTTGCTCAGAAGTCATACATCTATCAAGTGTGATATCAAAACATTAAAATCACTCAGGTGAAGAAATTCTAACATCATTGCAAGTGATAGCTACACCCCATACAGTAATAAACAATAAAAAAAACAAGGCATTAACATGACAAAATGTCACCACCTAAAACAATTTGGTCAATTTAAAGCAAGTTGGAAAATACCTTTTGACCTTAAGAAGGTTTGATTTGAACTTCTTAGAACATGTAGATGATTTTGAAAAAAAAATTCGTCAATTTGAAGCAAGTTGAAAAAATACCTCTTTGACTTTTTTTGACATTGAGAAGGTCATTGAAGGTCAAATGTCAAAGTCAGATTTGAACTTCTGAGAACATGTAGATGATTTTGAAAAAAAAATTAAGTAAATTTTAAGCAAGTTGAAAAAAGACCTTTTGACCTTGAAAAGGTCATTGAAGGTCAAATGTCAAATCTAAAGTCAGATTTGAACTTCTGAGAACATGTAGATGATTTTGAAAAAAAAATTAGTCAATTTGAAGCAAGTTGAAAAAAGACCTTTTTGACCTTGAGAAGGTCATTGAAGGTCAAATCTAAAGTCAGATTTGAACTTCTGAGAACTTGTAAAAGTCAAATTTGAACTTCTGAAAAGATGTAGATGATTTTGAAAAAAAAAATTGGTCAATTTGAAGCAAGTTGAAAACAGACCTTTTTGACCTTTTTTGACCTTGAGAAGGTCATTAAAGGTCAAATGTCAAATCTGAAGTCAGATTTGAATTTCTGAGAACATGTAGATGATTTTGAAAAAAAAATTAGTCAATTTGAAGCAAGTTGAAAAAAGACCTTTTTGACCTTTTTTTACCTTGAGAAGGTCATTGAAGGGGTCAAATGTCATATCTTAAGTCAAATCTAAAGTCATATTTGAATTTCTGAGAACATGTAGATGATTTTGAAAAAAAAATTAGTCAATTTGAAGCAAGATGAAAAAAGACCTTTTTGACCTTTTTTGACATTGAGAAGCTCATTGAAGGTCAAATGTCAAATCTTAAGTCAGATTTGAATTTCTGAGAACATGTAGATTATTTTGAAAAAAAAATTTAGTCAATTTGAAGCAAGTTGAAAAAAGACCTTTTTGACCTTTTTTGACTTTGAGAAGGTCATTGAAGGTCAAATGTCAAATCTTAAGTCAAATCTAAAGTCAGATTTGAATTTCTGAGAACACGTAGATGATTTTGAAAAAAAAATTTAGTCAATTTGAAGCAAGTTGAAAACAGACCTTTTTGACCTTTTTTGACCTTGAGAAGGTCATTGAAGGTCAAATGTCAAATCTAAAGTCAGATTTGAAGGTCAAATGTCAAATCTAAAGTCAGATTTGAATTTCTGAGAACATGTAGATGATTTTGAAAAAAAATTTAGTCAATGTGAAGCAAGTTGAAAAAAGACCTTTTTGACCTTGAGAAGGTCATTGAAGGTCAAATGTCAAATCTAAAGTCAGATTTGAACTTCTGAGAACATGTAGATGATTTAGAAAAAAATTGAAGTCAGTCTAAACAGTATTTGTTAAGTTATAGGAAGTTGTAAGAAATTGTTACAGACGCCGGACGCCAACCGCCGGACGCCAACCGCCGGACGCCGTCGCAAAAAAAACGGAGACCATAACAATATGTCACCACTTTTGGTGGTGACATACCATAAAAAAAAACTCCAGTCATTGCAAAATTGTATACTTGTATAACATGAGGTCCTATCATACTTAACATCAACTTACTTTGATTACTGCAACTCCATTAGCAAGTTTGGCAAGTCGTTCCTGGAGTTTCTCCTTTTCGTACTCAGATGTGGTCAATTCAATCTCATCTTTGATTTGGTTAACTCTCTTCTCCAAGTCAGCTGGGCTGCCTTTACCCTATGCAAATAACAATTAAATGTGAGGGACATACTAATGCAATAAGTAGGTGTAAAAAGATGTATTCCATACCTGATGAGGTCTCAGGGACATATCAACCGGGAATATATTCCATATCCGGGCAAATATTTTTCGTATGTCCCGCTCCAACGGAGCTCCGGGACATATAAATCGTATGTCCCGCTCAAAAATAAAGGGGACATGCCATTAAGAGGACATTCTCTGACTTAGTCATTTTTTCAAAAGTGTGAAAATAAAAAAAATCATGAAAAGTTCTAAAATATTCTGAATAACAAGTTGAATATATATATTTAATGATGGCACAAGCAAAAGTCTGAAAATTAACATGAAATGAAGGGTTTTGACAGATGCAAAAGATGGTAGATTTGTGATGAAGAAATAGAGGTTTTTGCAGTAACAACACAATTACCTCGAAGTTATCCGTTATGAGAGGCTGAGGACTAAACTTGACATAATTTTCAATCTCAGATTATCAGTAGTATCTAACTTAAGCCGGACAGCCACTCAAAATGTATATGGAGCCCATAAGATTCATTTTTCTCAATTGAAGTCACTATTTCTGTTTTTAGCTTCAGAGGATAGGAGGTACATGAACATGCTAAGTTTACCTAGATCACAAGCCTTACCACAAATATAAAGTATATAGGAATAGAGTTAATATGAGTGAAAACCTTAAACTTCCCATTTTATTAGGGATGGAACTTGTGGACCATGTGTATTTCTAACTTCTTCACATGTGCATGGATCTAAAATTGTGGCAGCCATCTTGGATTTGTCATATTATGTGGACATGGTTTTGGTTGTGCTGAATTTGTTTCAAAATAACATTTCTTGTGTACCTTCGATAAGTGAGATAGGCATTTGAAATTAAATACAGATAGCATACTTGACATTTAATGCAGTAAACAGTAATACAATTCATTCTTACATAATACGTGAGTCCAGACAAAAAGTTGTTATTGTGTTAGTTTAACTGGGCATACATTACACTCATTGGGCTTGGTTTTCTTAATTGGCTTGGATAAATGTTGTTCTATTTATTCAGAAAAGGAGTATAGTTCAATATACAAGTTCACATTTGTTCCATCCTCTTGTAGAAATGAATCTCATATTATTTCATCTCAAATATAGAACACAAAAATATATTTAAAAAAAGTTTCTATTAATTGCAAAAGTTAGCTTCTATGTCATGACTGAGTTTGGGTTCCGCTTCTAGGGAAAAAATATCCATCTGGAAATATCGTATTGACCATTGCTATACACTCCATATTTAATCCTCCCAGTAAATAACATTGATATACAGTATACAAGTATATATGACATCGAGGATCTGGGGTTTGGGCAATGTGAGACATGAGGCCACTTGTCTTTTTGAATCTCATATTCAATATTCTTTCTTTAAACCCTCATATTTAATATTTTTGGAGTGGTAATTCAATTATGTACCTATTTTTTAATTCTTTTTTTTAAAAAAAATTATGGAAATAATTGAGAAAAAAAAATTGAAAAAAAAATTTGAATTTTTTTGAAAATGATAACATATTTTGCAAGTAAACACACCAGAGCATATGGGATACATGCTTATAATTTCAAACCTCATCAGGTATGGAATACAACAGTTATGCACGGTCGGTTTGGATACAGGAAATATCCCTTGGGATATACAATATATCTTCCCTTGGTCCCTTCGGGCCCTCGGGAAGATATATTGTATATCCCTCGGGATATTCCCTGTATCCAAAACCTCCCAGTGCATAACCCCTATATATTTTCTTTGCAATTACTTTGAATTACATCAAATATGGACAGGAACAGAATGAGTTACAAAATAAATCATTCAAGTAAAAATGGAAAGAGAATCTTGAGCAATAGTTTGCAGGAGATGGTATGCACTGAATGTTGTATGCATCTATCAACATGTATAAAATAGTGTGAAGGGGATGGTATGCACGGAAAGCTGGATGTATCTTACCTTCATAAGGAGAGTGTCGTCCTTGGTGATAATCACCTCACCAACACCTCCCAAGTCATTGAGCTGAACATCCTCAAGGTTGTACATGTTGGCATCATCTCCAAACACCTATAAAACATACAAAAAGGCTTAAGGTGGGGAGAGTAGGATCAGTCTACTGATATATTGGCCAAATTATTTGAGTCATTCATATTTTGAGAGTTGAAATAGATTTACCCCATGCAAACAAAAGTGATCCCTCTCACTCCTAACATTTTATCATAAATCAATATGTTGATGTGTTTCCCAAAATTTACACTTTTATCCCACCAAATGTCTCTTCAGCACTTATAATATGGTACTTACGATTCCACCTGAGGCAACTGCCATGTCCCTGAGAGTATTCTTCCTGTTGTCACCAAAGCCTGGTGCTTTAACTGCACACACCTGGAGACCAACCTTCAGTCTAAAAGCAATGGATGCATATATTAAACAACATTATGCTATTTATATCTTAAAGTCTTTATCAGAACACCAATCAAACATCAAAAGGTGATCCCCTATTCTTTAATTGTTTTTCATTGGTCATTTTCTTAACTACAAATGTTTTCTTGAGTCTTGAATTTCAGACAGAGCCAGTAAGAAGTCAAACTCAGGCGCGATACTCCAATAGGTGTTTTCAGATTCCAATAGGTGTTTTTAGATTCCATTTTATTTTTTCCCCTCTTTTGGTTTATTGTGTTTATTTTTTCTCCGAGCAATTCATAGTTTGTTCAGTTATATTCTGTTTTCTTCATATCGCCCCATGTGTTTTCTCTTCATACAAAGTCTTACCTATTTAATACTAATGTGGTAAGAGCTTCCCCATCAATGTCTTCAGCTACGATAATGAGTGGTTTACGACTGGTATTGGCCAGCTCTAGGGCGGGAATCATGGATTGGATATTTGAGATTTTCTTCTCACTGAATAATACCAATGCATCTTGGTATTCTACTTTGGCGCCTGAAATCATATTAATAGTCATTTAATAAATTTATATACATGAAAAATATGGGTTTCAGAATACAGTATAATGTACACTAATGCACAATGGATTACTATCAACCAGACAAGTTCAGCTTGTTAACAAAAAATCAGATAATTTGGTTTGACCAGTAGGGTGAAAATGCATGTTGTTGTTTTATCGGTATTATAAATTATTCTATTCCCAGGAGCTTAAGGGCCCAAAAATCTGTGACAGTTGACAATGATCACTTCTAACCTTTAGTTGTATTGATGAAGTAGGGAGAGATGTATCCCCTGTCAAACTTCATTCCCTCGATGGTTTCTAGCTCATCCTGGAGCGTCTTGCCATCTTTGACTGTGATTACACCCTCTTTTCCCACCTTCTTCATTGCACTAGAGATCAGCTCACCCACTGAACTGTCACCATTGGCTGATATAGTGGCAACCTTAAATTAACAATAAAACTAATGTCAGATTTGTTCATTAATTAAAGAGAACACTAGAGATCAAATTACTGAGTCGCCACAATTAAGAGTAGAACTGATATCCTAAATAATGCACATTGACAAAATACATGCAAAGCAAATCACCTGTGCTGAATATATGCCAATTGCTAATACAAAAAACATTCTCTTTATCTTATAATTATTATTATAAAGCACTGATTTTCACATCTCATCTTTACCTGTTGTATTTCCTCTGGGGTAGTTACTGGTTTTGCTATATTTTTAAGTTCTTCTATAACTTTCTCAGCGGCTAGCATAATTCCTACAAAGAGACAAAGCGTTCACATATAACTAGAGTACCGTATTCTCTGTAATTAGCGCCCAGGGCGTTTAGAAAATTGAAAATACATTATTTAGACCATTCTAATAAGTGCCCATGTATGAAAGAAATCAGAAATCCCGAGGAATTTCATGTATGGCAATTTTTCTTGACAAGAATGCATTTTCTTCAACATATTTTTATAATAATATGACAAGTGCTGTTATTGGAGAGAATACGGTAAAGATCGCTTAGACAATATTGACAGTGGTTGAAGACCCGTCTATGTCTAATTTATTTCCGGCACGCCCACTTTGTCATTATCGCCGATTACCTTCAATATTTCCACTAGAGACTGCTGGATATCGATCTAAAGTTATACATTATTTCTAATTTGATGAGAGATCATCATTATTCGTGCAAAAGTCGTGTAAAAGTCGAGAAACATTAAAAAGAAACCAGAAAGTTCACGACCTTGACATGCGCAGAACATCTGCGCAATAGCTTTTGAAATTTCTGAATGCCGATAAAGAACAATTCCTTCATTCATTATGGATTTTTATGATTCCTTGATGTTTCTTGAACTTTGTGAAGCGGGTGGGCGCTTATTAGAGAGTGGGCGGTAATTACAGAGAATACGGTATGTGAAATGCATACATGTACGTAGCGTCCAGGTTAATATTGTGCAGGCAGGGGGGTTCAACAATGACTTCTTAAGGGGGCTAAAATAGCAGTTATAATGTGCATTAAAAAATTAGAATTCTGACTTTTAGGGGGGCACACCTCCGTCTCGATCCATTGCTGATGTAATAACTATTAATTCTCAAATATAAAAAAAAACTTATAACCTTTCTCATCAGTATGGAGAGTAATGATTCATCAATAGGCCTACATAGAAAGATGGTCTACCAAAATGGTCCTAACTGACAATCTATTTGATCATACCTTTTCTGATCTCAATTGGGTTAGCTCCTTTGCTCATCTTTTCAAATCCTTCCCTAGTTATGGCCCTGGCTAGAACAGTTGCTGTAGTTGTACCATCCCCAGCTTCCTCATTTGTGTTATTGGCAACATCTTGTACAAGTTTAGCACCAACATTCTGCATTTTATCTTTCAGTTCTATTGATTTAGCTACAGTAACTCCATCTTTTGTAATTTTGGGGCTGCCCCAGCTTTGTTCTATTATAACGTTTCGTCCCTAAAATCAAAGTTGTTACAAGGTTTTTTTCATTTGTCCTTTGTTGGAAACATAAAATGGTGAAGGTCTTTAAATACTCAAATATCAGTATCAATATTAGATCCATTCATCTAAATATTTGGCTATTTAATTTTTGCAGAAAATTATATCCAAGAAGATATTAAACAGAATTATTATAGAAATGTAAGAAAGGTCATAAGAATACCTTTGGTCCCATGGTTACAGCAACTGCATCAGCAAGTACATCAACTCCAATAAGCATTGCAGATCTTGCCTCTGGGCCAAACTTCACCTCTTTGGCATAGCCTCTCTGGTTTGTTATGGCAGCAGGAGCACATCTGTTAGCTGTAGCAAGGCGGGTAAGGGCAGGACGCACAATGGATGGTAAGCGGAACATTTTGGCACTAAAACTACAAAAATGTTTATATAATTAGAAAAATTAACCGCCTGTTGTTTTTAAGGACTTTTCCATGTTAAAGGACGATTCTCGGTTTGGAGAACAGTCTCCTGGGCTAATAATTTTTTTCATGAAAAATATAGAAATATTACCCAAATTAAACTATGAATATTTAAAAGAGGACATTTAAATCTACAAGATGTAAAAATAACAAATTGGTCTGAAACAGGGATAATACTCAATTAGACCGATTCAATAAAATACAAGTCTTGATTTTGGGGAAAGAAGTTCATCAGTGTAATATTTTTTTGCGAAAAATCTAAAAATATTACCCAAATTAAATTATGACCATTCAAAAGAAAACATTCAAATCTATATTATGTAAAAAAATCAAATTTGTCCGAAACAGGGATAATGCTCATTTAGATTGAAGAACTTCGTTCTCCAAACCGAGAATCGTCCTTTATACTTTCCATTAATTTTGCCTGTTCTTTTTTCATTTATTTAGCTTGTGAGAATTCTAGTGAAACCCATGAAATATATCACTTTTTTCTACGGATTTGAAAACTCTCGCCAGCTGTGATATGCACTGTTACATGGCGGTTTCATGACGTTACGTTATGATGAAATGATAAATGTATTGGCATACATGTACACTTGAAATGACAAAATAAAATTGAATGTTGTTTGAAATGTTTTGTTTCATATGTGAACAATGGGATAAAAATAGGACCCATGGTCCTGTGCTCACACAGTTTGGAACCTTCAGAGGAATGTATATCCTGACTTTAAAACAAAAATATTGATTTGGATTTGTAGTCTCGAACTTTGAGAAATAAACTTTGATAGCACAGTTGTGTGACCTAGTTTGATGACCTTTGACCTTGAAAATTTTACTTATTCAGAGCTCAGTAAGGTCTTTTGTGATTAAGCTGACCAAAATTTACATCCAAAAATCAATTTGAAAAATCAACTTTTTGACCTTTCGAAGATCACTGAAGGTCAAGTAAAGGTCAAATCCTAAAACTAATGTCAGATTTGAGCTCCTGGCAACTCGTAGATGGTTTTCAAAAAAACATTTGGTCAAATTGAAGCAAGTTGAAAAATAACTTATTTTTACTGTTTTATGACGTCAAATATCTCAAAAACTGTAAAAATTTGATGCTGATATATATTGAGCAATATGTAGGGAATGCTTAAATCTAGTAATGATGTAATTCATTGCAAGAAATGATCAAGTATAAGGCAAACTTTGAGAAACTTGTCAATCACAAAATCTGCCATTGACTTTATACATGAGAAAGTTTCCTGAAGATGATGAAGTCCTACTTTTTGTCAAATTTTAAAGAGTAAACACTAGAGGTGTCAAGTATTAACCGGTTAACCGGTTAACCGCCGATAATGCCTTGACCGGTCTGTGTTTTTATGGGCGGTTAGTTGACCGTGTATAATTCTGTTATTTCCCGCGCTTATTTTGCATGCTAATCCGTTTGGTTTTATGGTGTCAAATTCACGTAAGCTACTCATACATGTCATAAGTCCTATAACTCCTTACAAACATCCAATCAGCAACTTTAATCCCTGCCACATTGCTTTCCCGCGCTTACTTTGCATTTTAATCTGTTTGTTTTTCAAGCGTCAGTTTCATGTGAGATACTCATACATGTGATAGGTCCGATAATTCCTTACAAACATCCAATCAGCAAATTTAATTCCTGCCACATTGCTTTCCCGCGCTTACTTACATAGAATAGAGTAAAGCTTGACGAACGTAAAAATAAACGCCGATATATCATTTTTCCAATTTTTTTCAACTTTCAAGATCGAAGATGAAGATTTCATTTGAAATTATCAGTTCAAATTTTCCGCCGGTTAACCGACTTTAACCGGTAAAAAAACCCGGTTAACCGGTTAATGCTCAAGCGGTTAATTGACACCACTAGTAAACACCAAAAACTGTAATTCCAAGAGCTTTGAAATCTTCAGAGGACATAAGTTGCATATACAGCAACTACTAAAAGTTATTTGAAAGTTCTACTTCAACAAAGTGTCTAGTATAAACAGAAAATTTGACTTTTTGACTTTTCTCGGAAACCGGGCGAACTTGGGAAATGGCGATGATAGGTCAAATAGGCATTATGGATAATGCATAAAATGACTGTGGATATGACTCAATCCGAATAGCAGTTTCAACTTGTTCGGCCAATGTTGACGGACGGACGGACCAACGGACGGACGGACGGACGGACCAACGGACGGACGCCTGGTCGATCCCATAGGTTCACTGTGTGAGCCAAAAAGAACATTATATGAATTTTCGTGATAGCATTCTAATCTACTCATTGTCATAACATGCCAGAGAAGCATCACAAGTATAAGAAGTTACAGACCTTATAAGCCAAATCACCCACAATCCAAGATATACAAATGTCATTTGTGTGCAATGTGAATTTACTTCTCTGTATATTATTGCACAATGGTGTTTAGATTTCCTTTTTAGGTTCAACTGGTTGCTTTGAGGCAGTTTAACAGACTGTAGGTACATGTATAGGAAAATTACATTGCAACTGGTCTGTATTGCCATTTTGACCAGCAGGTTTCAGATTCATAGGGCCTTCTTAGGTTGTTTTAACAGATCAATCAGCCTTTGAAAGAGGTAAGGTGTGCGTGACTAACACCAAAGGGAAATGGCCAGGATTTACCAAGGGGGGTTTAATTTTCCTTGGCCAGGGGCCCGGGGGGGGGGGGGTACTTCCATGTATTGGCTATATGGGGACGTGCCGCTAAAGTGGGTCACTTTTTCACCGAAAAATCCTAGAGATGGGACCCATTTTGAAGAAACAACCCTAGATATGGGTCCCATTTTGATGAAAAAATCCCTAGAGCTGGGTCTACTTTTTGAAAAATCCTAAAACTGGGTACTGTTTTTGAGAAAAATCGCCAGAAGTGGGTCTTGTTTTTTAAAAATTACCTCGAAGTGAGTCTACTTTTGAAAGAAAAGCCCTAGATGTGTGCCCATTTTTAGAGAAAAAATTCCTAGATGTGGGTAGATATTTTGAGTCTTAGCGGCATCCCCCTGTACAAAAGTTTGACCAGTACTCCCCTAGTATGTATCCAACAGACCGTATATTATTCAGACGAAGGATACAGTCGAAGTACTCCCCCCAGGGCCGGGAGTATGTTTTATAACAAAATGGGGGGATTCCAGGCAAAGGGCGTAGGGAGTATGTATGATAAAATCAGTTTTAACGAACCAATTAATTGCAGAATATGTATGCACATCATCAAATACTAAATAGCTGGTATAAATATATAATTCATTGTTCCTCAAAAATAGTCATCCTTCTGACTCTTCTGAGAGTGGGGTTCGTTCCCTTCTGGTGTACCACGGGGTTGCTTGATCTTTCAGAAAAGGGGATTGTTCCCAGCCAAGGGTTGGTTCTATAATGAAAGGGGATTTCAAGGCGAAGGAGGGAGGATCGTACAAGCCCCAAAAACACCCTACCATGCATGCTCCCTGTGGATTGAGTTTGCAAATTGCATCAGATCACCATCAGAGAAGAGAAAGTTCGCACTGCTTTCGATAGTAATTGAAATTCCAAGAAGAAAGTATGCTGCTCTCTTAAATAAAAGATTTTTTACTCCTTGATGAGGTTATTAGTCCCATGGACCTCTGCCAGATAAGCTCCTCTGTGTCTAGGCTCAATAAATATACTCAAGGACAAGACACGCCATCTTCGGAAAAAAAAATTTTCCTTGATTTTGGAGTCAGTTTATCAATAAATATCACATGTCATACCTCAAACGATGCGTAAGTGCTGGTAGCTTCAACTCCAATCACTAAAGCCAAACATCCAAGAAAGCGTCTGTTGATAAAAGCATAAAATAAGCGAGCGTATATTTAATGGAGCACTTCGGCTATCTCCGTTGTTCAAATGATTATTCCCGAAGTCAAATGCCTTTTCTGAGAATGTGACGCCACTCCGGATGACGTCACATCAGAGATAACCGAGAAGTCCTGACGTTTCTTTAAAATCCCGTAGAAACAATAACAACGGTTTGTTAGGCTACGCGATTCTTTACTTTCATTGGCTGTTTTTTTTGCGATGTGACGTAATATGAGAGACGAACAACATCGGACACTGCCGGAAATTACCGAAGCGCTCCATTATCTTTACGCTCTGAAAATTTGAAATAAATGTCCCGGGAAAATTCGAATTACAGCGTCAATAATGGATATCATGCAACCATTCGAACTAATACATAAAGAAGAAATTACACGGTAAATAATTATCAATCAATGTCTGACAGATGGAAAAAATAAAGGTCAGTACGAGGGTCATATTTTTGGGTGGTCATTTTTTTGATGTAGCATTTTTGGCTCGTGTCTCATCTTCCCATTTATCCTTTGAGCCTACTACCAATAGGAACTGGATCTGGCTCCGGATCTGTGATTAGTCCACAGATAGAATCTCACGTGTTTTCTATGGGAAGTGCCATTTTGAATTTAATTTTTTCAAAAAAATCACATGGCTGAACTTCAAATCTAGATTGTGCATTATTTACACAGATTTAGGTAGTGACACTTGTGCAACTTATAAAGAAATGTATAATACTTACATTTTGTATGTCTGTTATATCTAATATATGCGTTAGACGCAATAAGATGTAATATTCTAGAGACTTCTGTGGGAAAGGTCAAGCTTCTGCTTCAGCTGGGTGAAAACGAGGCCCTGTGGGCGGAACATGGATAATTTGATATCCTCCTTATCAAGTGTGAATTTACACTTTGAATCTACATTTTATGTTATCCAATATGATATGGTTAGACTAAGTGTTCAGTCTTCTCTCTACCGGACTTAGACTCGTCATTTTTGTGTTGGTTTTCCACATCAAATCATACATTTTGTTTTAGTGTACATAGCAGAAATTTAAAGGTCCATACATTTGACCTTTCATAATCAAATGGGCTGATGTAATCTTCCATTTCTACCTGAAAATAGCCATTACAGCCTTTATGTTACATTCAATTTAAAGTCACTTATTTCAATATACACGCAAATACTTTAATTTGGGCTGACATGCGGTAAATTAGGGTGCATAAGATAAATGTCAGAGTGACCTTTGCTACTAAATCCTATTTTCTCCTAACCTTCAACCGGTTTTCAGAACGAGGCTCTTACCCACATGTTATTCTGAAACTTCGAGAAATATCTACAAAATGGTAAGATAATAAGCTATTGCAAAGCATATAGCTACATACAGTTGGGGACATAAATAAATGACAGGTGGATTTGCTGAAGTGAGGATTTCCCATGTTAAAAATAAGAGAATTTACAAGAGGCCATACATCAGTGGTTATACAAAATGTAAAATATACAAATTTTAAGGGATATATATCTAGACAATATTGGAAATTATGGGCTTTCAGACCACCATAATTAGGAAATGGTGATCGAAAATCGACCTGTCATTTATTTTTGTCCCCAACTGTAATGTACTTTCTTTGCATGTGCTAACTATATATGATAAAGTGGTATACTTTTTTTAACATTCCTTAGATCTATGCATGTTCTTCATGAATTGATTTTTGGTGTGTTGAATAATTTTAAAAAATCCTAGGCCTTAGAAGAATCTCAATCAGAAGATTCAGATGGGGCACTGGATGGGAGTGGATTTTCATTTAGGTCAACTCTATCATGTAAGTGCAATTGCGTTTTCTGCTCGGACATTTTCGTAAATCTCCGGAGGTTGTCCGAACCTAACTAATTCTCAAAATTCATTTCGTTCGTTGCGTATCTTGCTCCTAGCAAACCGCGATATTGTAAATAGGTCTAAAGAACATTCACTCGATGAACAATTTACAAGTCTTGATCGAAAAAGAAGTATTTCAGCGCTCTAATACTTACACGGATTGATGATACTGGTGTAAGAGACAGTTAGAGACCAAAAGTAAGCCGCTGATCGACTTAAGGTCAGGGTGCATGATGGGAAATTTTCTGCATTCCTCAATTGAGTCACATGTTATTTTTCAAACAAGAATCACTCCTTCCCTTCATTGTCTTTATCTTCCAGTTTTGCACAAAGAGTGCACTTATGTGCCTAGAAAAGACTTGTGAGAAGAATGTTTTGATAAAGTGTATAAAAAACAAGAAAATTCAGTGAAAAAAAAATCAGAAAATTTTCAGAATTTTTTTTCACTGAATTTTCTCATTTTTTATACATTTTACAAAACAAACCTTCTCACAAGGCTTTTCTAGGCACAGAAGTGCACTCTTTGTGCAAACTTGGAAGATGTAGACAATGTGGGAAAGGAGTTATTCATGTTTGAAAAATAACATGTGACTCAATTGAGGAATGCAGAAAATTTCCCAACATGCACCCTGTCCTTAACTCGATTTCAAAGGTCACAATCATTCAGCTGTCCAAATGCTCCGTGGGAAAGCTATTATATCAAAATCCAAATAGCTTTCGCAGGAAGTAAGTCTGGGCCTCATTTCTTATCTGATAATATCTTATGAGCCCTTATGGGCTAGGTCTAACTTCCATGATCATTTTGCCTTTGATGTGTTCCACAGGTTTCGACAAGTGGAACTGATTAATAGTGTTGTCGCGATGTGCCATAATCGTACATCGATGCATCGGCAATTTTCAGTAGTAAACATCGATGCACATCGCGAAAAAGTCTGAGAAAAGTGCACTGAAATACCGAACACTAATGCACTAAAATACTGAACAGAACAAATTAATAAGAGTACGCTGGTACATCCGGGAACTTCTAGTAACGGTGAAATGAAAGTAAAGTAATTTTTTTTAGATTAATGGTTCATTTCAACTAGCTAAAACAGTTTTAAAGCGAAAGAATATCAGAAAACATTGGAAAATGAAATAAGACATGAGAAAGGTAAGCGATTTGCGTCAAAATAAGATAAGGGTGATTTTTAGCAAATAAAATTTTTTTAAAAACATCGATGTTTTGTTTCAGACATCGATGCATTGCCAGAATCAGCTTTGGCGATGTATATCGCGATGTATCGATTAATCGCGACAACACTACTGATTAAACCCTGAAAACATGGTAATATTAAAATATCAAAATTGATCTTTTTATCCCGAGTAATCGCAATAATAATTATCAATCTATTTGACAACAATTTCGATTCGCTAATAGTTTAATTTTAAAGTGCCATGATACTTAACAGGAAATGACGAAACAGGAAGTGACAAAAAAATTTGCATTTTTAGACATTTTTTAAACAAAGATAACAGAGTTCTGTTTTGACCTCCAGTCAATTCAAATATTTCCACATATCATTTACATGACCAGGATCACAATGTGCATGGTCAGAATGACCCTAAACATGATGATATAACCTTTTCAGCCCTTTGAAAATGTGACTGAAAAATAGCTAAAAGTATGAGATAGGGAAGGTCACTGAACAGAATCTTTTGAATTTTTCACGCCACTTTTTTTTCAAGACACTACAACTTTTTTTTTTCCAACCTACATTTCCCAAACTTTGCAGTTATATAGTGCCAGGGGTTCATAACAATATTATAATGTAACAAGTCCTTCAACATGGATTATATTTGATCTAAAAGAGGAGTTCAATTGGTCCGCCACCCTATTTGATGATCGATTTTAGTTTTAGTCGCCTTGCTGATATAGCAGTATCAATGAAATGTTAGCTAAGTTTTTTTCAACCTATCCTAATTTCCGGCTTTAGTTGAGCAATTTTTGAGATTGGGTGCCTTAATACAATCTCCTGGAGACATTCCCATACCCTATACTCACTGGGGTTTGCATCAGGCCTATTAGATTGGCTGTTATCAGGCCATATCAGTTCAGGAACATTTTGCAAATTATGCTTATTTGTCATGGCACACCACATGTTTAACTGAGACGCTGGTGACATGTTTTATTCAAGTAAAAGTGTTTAATTCATGGACCATGGCTAGATAACAACTTCAAGTTTCATTTGGTATGCAAATTATGATTTTGTATCAAATATTAAAAAAGTTATAGCATTTTGAAAGAAAAGTGGCGTTTTTTTTGGCCCACCCTGTATATATCAGCTATAGTAATATTAGAACTTCCCACTATGATCTAGTGATGTGTTATCTTCAGTCTTCCTCACAATTTCCTTGACAACTTTAAATCTAAAAAAGCGATTGAAGGACCACATTGCAACATTATCATATGGGATTATAACATGTTGGTCTAAAGAAGGATATCTCCGCGATAGATATTTATATGACCATTTCTTGTTTTCAGTCTGCATTCAAAAAGTTCTTGCCCCTGTTTGACCGAATCCTGGTTGAACGTGTAGCTGCCAATACAAAGACAGCAAGTGGTTTAATGATCCCAGAGAAAGCCCAGGAAAAAATTTTACGTGCTACAGTTGTTGCAGTAGGCCCTGGAGCCAGACTTGAGGTAAAGCTATGTAGTATAAAAAATAAAAACTATGTGCATTTCACTGCTGTAAAGCCTACAGGCATGTGCTAAAGAGGAACCTGTTAAAAAGTGAAAAAAGTTCACGCTGATTTTACTGGATGTTTTTACTGGATGATATCATTTTACCATGTTTTTACTGGATGAGATATTTCAATCTTGATCCAGCTACCTGTTTATTGAATGCTTGAGAGAACACTGAAAATAATTTATTTTGTACATACTTACAGGATGGTTCACACGTTCCATGCAGTGTGAAAACTGGAGATCAAATACTTTTACCTGAATATGGAGGAACTAAAATCAAATTAGATGACCAGGTAATGAAGAAACCCTTGACATTCCTTGTTTGAAGTAATTCTCTAGCTAAAGATAGCTTCATGCTATAGTATATGACTAATATATGACCAATGATATCTCTGCTCGAGAATGAATTTCCAATATGGCAATCATTTTTGTGAAAGATGTAATCTAGGACCCTTCATATAATTAATATAATACAAGATCAAAATGAAGTTTGATATTACATGTATATGTATCGTTTTGTAGGATTTGTAACCTTGTTGAATATATTTTATGAATGATATTGCACTCGAAATGTCACTTTATATAAATTAACTGCTGTAACATGCATGGAAGTTTTTTTCATTCTTGTTCAGGAAGCAAAGGCTAGAGCCCTTGGCAGACATCCTCTCCATGCATGGTCCCAGACCCTATAATACTTAACAATTAATTTCTGTATCGTATTTTCCAGGAATACACACTATTCAGAGATGGTGATATAATGGGAAAATTTGAGTCATGAAAACAGATCCACTAGGACAATTATATACAGTTACCATGGTAACGAACATCATATGGCCAAATAGAGCAAAACATTTGATGTCATGCTGTGAAATTGTGTTTCCTATCTAAACAGAAGTTCATATCAATCCATCTATATAATTTGGCAATTATGTGTATGTGCCAAATGTAATTGTAACTTTGAAAATTGCTGCATAATGATTACAGATTTTACAGCACTCTTAAATTGTAGTTAGTAAAATGTGTTGAATTCATTGGATATAAACATCAGTGGTTGAAAATTAATTGTTTTATTAAACAGTTTCACCAATGACTGCAAAAACAGTGTAAAATCATAAATTATATGTAAATTGTATGTGAATAGTGAATAGAATGGCAATTTGTAGAAAATTTAACTTTTTGTTCATGTTCATCTTACTACTGGATATTATTCCATCCTATCAGAAGAATAACGCAGATCCACAATGAGACTGCATGTACTAAGTATATGAAGACTTGGATATTCATTGCTAAAATGCTAAAAGGTGGGCCCTTCCTGTAGCATAGGAGCAAAGTGTTCAGCTTTAGGACATACATTTCTTGATGTCTTAATTTTGAGAAATGAATACATAAGTATCACTATGCTAGATTTAATTAATAATAAAAGGACCAATAGCTGTAACTCTC